TATCTACAACCATGTAATGTGAATACTATTTGAATACACATGGCGTCAACGTCAACACATTTAAGAATATTATTTATATCCATGCAATAATGCATGCATTAATTAGAAACAAGAAGATGAAACAGAAATAACTAAAAGTAGTAAATTAGCACTACAGGACACATTTGGCAAGATTAGATTTTCAGGAGAACATGAGCCAAACCTGTCCAATACAACCAATAAATTCCAGCATTATACACGTAATCTATTCAAGATATTTTAATGTTTGTCAAGGGGTTGAGGGTCTTGTAGCGCTCTCAAGTAGGAAGTGTTAATATGCACCTAGGCTGCAGAAGGAATCATTTTGATTTGACGAAATATTTGTTTTTTCTTTAACTTCAAAAGCAGGATGAAAGTGAGAAAATAAACACAGGATGATTTACGTAAAATTATTTGAATTTAATTTTTAACGTCTTTTCTTTTATCTTTTATCAAATTGCAACAAATGCCTTACTCCAATAGTTTTTTAAGTATGCATCAATCCAGATACAACTCTTTCTGTATTCTGAAGTATGTATCAATCAAGATACAACTCTCTCAAACTCTATACTATCTACTGAGAACTAATACGTCTGACGGTATTAAAGCAGAGTTCATAACCAACTAACTATATTTTGGGTTTAATGATACAGGTAAATATGAAACTGACCGTTAGGTCTGTTCCGAGATTAACGAAACAGGTTTATTTACAAGACACATGAATTAGGGTTATTACTATATTGATTACAAAAGGATCAATTATGAAAAGGTTTGTAATACAATTGATTGATTGCAGATTAATTTCTCAAAGTATTGTAAGTTAAGCTATGAAATATTAAAAGAATAACAAATTGAGGTGTACAGATTGAAGAATAAATATCAAAGGATTGATTGTCAAATATTGAAATTAGCATAGTATTCATAAATACTGAAAAATAAGATAGATTAGAAGAATACTGTTAAGATGGGATAGATTGAAGAAATACTGATAGAATAGGATAGATTGAAGAAATACTGATAGAATAGGATAGATTGAAGAAATACTGATAGAATAGGATAGATTGAAGGAATACTGATAGAATAGGATAGACTGAAGGAATACTGATAAAATAGGAATAAAATAGGATAGATTGAAGGAATACTGATAGAATAGGATAGATTGAAGGAATACTGATAGAATAGGATAGATTGAAGGAATACTGATAAAATAGGAGAAAATGAAAGAATACTGATAGAATAGGAGAGATTGAAGGAATACTGATAGAAGAGGATAGATTGAAAAAACGCTAATAAAATAGGATAGATTGAAGAAACATCGATAAAAAGGATGGATTTAAAGAACACTGATAAAATCAGTAAATAATTAAAGATTGTATATCCTAGGACTGGGGTAAGGGATGGGCGGGGGTCAAGTAGGACTCATATGAATGGGGGGGGGGTCATGTAGGAACTATGTATGGACGGGATTGTCCAGTCAAAAGGTTAAGTGGTGTCCCCCTCCCTCCCCCCTCTCACCACAGACCACGGTGTATCCAGGTTCAAATTTTTTCCACGCAACTCATTAATTTAATCTTGTATAGAGGATTGAGTCGAGAGGGGTGCAGAGCATCCATGAGCCCCCCAAACTGACCTCCGGAGCCTCCTGATTCGCAAAATGGTCTCGTAACCAATCAAAATGGTCCCCGACCCTTTTGTTACGTCTGACAGGCTCCCCAACTCTGTATATGCATCATGTATGAATCTAATTAGAATATCACCAACTCACAAAACATTATAGTTTTTGTAAAAAACTTGAATAATGAATTACAATAAAAGCACAAATCTAAGTATTTCTCAAAAACTATTTTGTTTTGTGAATTGGTGATAGTCTAATTAGATTTTTATATGATAAACCTGTGAAATTATATCAAATTTGTCTATCTTTATAGCTGCAATAGTTCTGCACAAGTTTTGGAATTTGTGAAATTTAGAAAAACAAAATAAGAAGTCTTAATCTCAATAAAAGTAGATTTTTAACCCAAATTGTTAATGTACCATTCAAAAACTCCATGTTGAGTTTTTTCGAAAAAAAACCAAATATTTGTTATCGGATTTTTGATTGCTGGACGTGAAACAGAGTTGGGGAGCCTCTCAGACGTAGCATGAGGCCCGGAGACAATTTAATTGGTTAGGAGGCCATTCTGAAAATCAGGAGGCTCCTGAGGTTAGTTTGCGGGGCTCATAGATGCTCTGCACCCCCTCCCTCGTCAGGGTGCCTCTGTATTTACTATGCACTATACAGGGTATCTTCACAGACTTTAAAGGCATGGGTATTAATTTATTTAATTCTTTATCAACTTATCAGGGTATTCAAATAGTTTTTTAGAAACTGTTTATAAAAACAAAAAATATATTTTCATGTATTCAAACTATTAGATATTATTTAAATGTGTAAATGATCTGTGTATTTTTATTCAATACTGATTATTCCCCAGCCTACACATGCCGAGAGAATTTAAATTATTTAGTACACTGTACATTGTACATTGTACAATAGACTGTACATATACCGATAACTTACATTAGAATCATATTATTAACTATACTTCGGGTACACTGTATGTACAGTGTACCCGAAGTAAATAGAAGAATATACACGACAAAAAAGGATGTTAGGAAAATGTGGTCAGCTATAGTCTGTACAGAAATCAGATACGCCTTCCAACATGGATTAAACATGATTAAATATTTAGATAATTAATTCATTCATTAAGTTAAATCAATTGCCTCAAGGAAAAGATTATTTGCTAATGAATTAATCGTTTTGTATATTCAGAATTCAAACTAAATTGATAAATACATTTATGGGGGTTTTATGTTTAATGATAAAAATGTATTAGTGATATAATGTCTGTGGCATACTAATGATGGGGCTCCGCCCCCAGTGAAAGGTAGGGCTGGCCCCCCACAGACAAACTATAGAAATGACTCATCTTCTCCGAGCTGATGCTGTATAATGCAGTTTAGTTATCAAACTACAGATTTTCTCACAATCATCTCTTATAGAAGGAGGTAAAGTAGGAGTAAAAGAGTAAATAGAAGAGAATTGATGATCAAAGGCGTAAAGAAAATGAGAAAGATAAGAGATGAGTAAAAGAACTTGAAATAAGTACCGATAGAAAAAATATGAAAAGGAGATTGAAAAAGGTAAAGAATAGGAAAGGAAGAAGAGTATTATGAAAATGATTGCGGAAGGTTGAATATAGAATATCGGCCTTAATAGGACCGGAGATTTATTTTAAAGCGACCACCCATTTATAGTCTTCACGTTAAATTCACAACAGTACACTATAAACTTTTTTCGATCAAGGATGACAGAGATACACAGAGTGTATATTGGTATATAAATACACTTTTATACACCCTGGTTTATACTGGAATGGAGCGTACACTTTTTTACACCCTAGTTTCCTCGCAATAAAGGACTTGAATCTTTGCCACAAACTCCGATTTTCTAATCTATATGACTTTGTAACTCATATTCTTAGACCTTAGATATTTAAAACTATTAATTCTATTGTATCAAATAATCTAAGTTTTAAACTAACAGCTTGCAAAGATATATGGATTAAACGATTTAAGTTTGTGGCAAAGACTGAATAACTTTTTGGCTAGAAAAACAAGAATATCTCCGTCATCTAAGATAAGACAAAGGTTGAAAGGGTACGAGTTAGAATAGCCTCTATACTAATGAAGTTTCTATAACATCTTTTAAGAAATGACAAATATTGAGAAAGGTTGGTTGGAGGAGATAAAGAAAAATTTCTGCGTATCCATCTTATGTGCATTAACATTTTTCAAGCATATTCTGACTCGGACTTCACATAAAAACCTAAACCTTGAGTATCATTCATGTTTAGTATGTTTTTAACCTTTAAACAGCTAATATAAATCCTACACCGGAGATGACCCGTAATCCATCAGTATAAATCAGAAACCTAAAACGAGATACTATAACGCTAATTCTGAACCTCTAGCCTCGAAATAAAAGCCCTAGTCTGAAGTAAAATCTAAAGGCATTGAAATGTTGAACCCATGAATCCGAAAAATTAATCTTAAATACATAAATTATAAGCTAAAGCTAAAGATCGATGTTAAATCATAGTCCGTAAATTTATATTTATTTCCATATAGTCTATTGAGCCCTGTAGCATTTTTTCCCTATCATAATTAATTAAAATTAAATTTTTCAATAAAAATGATCTAAGACGTTTCTTCTGATATGTAATTACAAGGTGGATAAACTCCTAACCCCCCCCCCCTTCCCGTTACACCTGGACAATTCTAGATTCAAGAAAACACTCAACCCTGATATTTGTTGAAATATAGAAACATCAATGCATCATTGCATTGTTAAAACTTCATTTCAAATATAATCTGCAGAAACACAAAATGCTAAAACTCTACTATGAGTTATATTTTAGCATTTTAACTTTTAATCTAATCCAACTTCGTGCAAAATATTTTAACTTGAGAAGTTTGAGTAGCACGTAAAGATTAGAAGATTTGTTAAAGTTTGAGTGAAATATTTTAAGTGTTTTGTGAAGTTAGCATAGTTGTTGTATGTTTTAGGTTTGTTTGTCGTAGGACAAGTTTACTCAGGGTGCAGTGAAGGCTCTGCAAACATTTAGAAAAACATTTAACATTGACCATCGTGTTTAACATGAATGAGAATTAAATACTAATGGCAAGGATGATTTGGAACTGGACATATACAACGTGTATTTTATAAAGAAGAATGGGGGTGTTAGGGGGGGGGGGGTTAAGTTATCGAAGGTTATCGAAGGTTAGAGATACACGATTTGAATTGTAATTCTGTTTTCGTACACATTTTTAAAACTATAAATCTTCTCTACCGCCTACAGACCTAAGGTATGCCTGATATACCGGGTGGTATTCTTATCTATTCTGTCACATCCTGGCACTAATCAACTATATTTCAGGTGTCGGAGCACAGACTAATGAGAAGCTAAATTCTACTCCGAACCTTGATTGATTACAACTAGCCCAAGATCCAACACACTAACAGAGTTCTGAATCAGGGTTGGGATGTGGAGAATATCAAAATGAGAAGAGGACCTGCAGAAATGGCGGATAACGACCTAGCTGCAGACCAAAAAAATATAATCTCCAGGAAATGTTTAGAATTTAAATTCTAAATCCATTAAGGATACCACAATAAACCTTAAAGAGTTTTGCAAATAACAATTAAATTTTAATTTCATTTAGTAAATTCTAAATACTCTAAGTAGAACCCGGCAGTGTGGAGCAGGTTTAATCTCCCTCCGGGATGATCATATTGATATTTTGGAGAATATCCGACAGGAGAAGGATGGAACCTCTACTCCACTCCTGGAGGAGAGGATTGCAGCTGTGACTGAGAGTTTAGAAAAACTAGAGGTTGGAGTTGCTGAGTCTGGAGTACTTCTATCTCTAGCTGGACATTTTGATAAACTAGAAGCTGACAGAACCCTGGCTAGACTAGAGAGCAAGCGGATACAGGTTCAAATATTTTTTTTAAAAAAGATTATCACAACGCAATTTTAAGTGATTGTTCTTTTTAAAGAGTGCCGTACACGATTTACAAATTATACTAAACTCTAACCTAATTATTTTCTTATAAACAATTCAACCCTATTCATGCACTCCCCTTACTCTTCTTTTGCCCCCCCCCCCCCCTGAGTTGAGTAGGAGTATCAGTAGTTTTTATTATATGCACAAGTACGAGAACAAGAACTGATGAGAGAACTTAGATCAATTTATTTTATTCTCTTTCATCTATCCATCAGCACATCAAAGCTTCTTCACATTGGTTGGACAATGATAATAAACTTATCATTCCTCTAAACATGAATTTGATATTTTTGCATTTAGGACAAAAATATTTTTTAAACATATTTTTTTTTTAAATCTTAAAATAATAATATATGTAAAAGGAAATCATGAAATATCAATCAGGGTTGAAGATATTTATCTATCTCCTAGTTTTCCCTGTTCTTCTATTTCTCTAGCTGTTTCTCCATCCTTCTCATATTCCCAGATAGAACATGTCCTGTGGATACTAGGATATCAAATGATAACTTTGCACCGACATAACAAAGCAGAACCCAGAGTAATCTCATCTTTTTAAACTTATATTTCAACGCATATTCGTTACAAAAACTAGACCAGGGAGGACAAATATATAAATAGCAGATAGATAGATGAAAAGGTTAAAATTAAATATTTAAAGAACAAAGATAAATAAAAAAATAATAACCAGGCTTTGAAATCCATCGTTTTCAATTAAGGTTGAAAACTTCATTACTCTTAGAATTGAAAAAGTTAGATCAGATTACTTTCTGAGGTTGGAGTTTTCGTTAATATCTTTTGTTAATATCTATGATTGTCGTCGTCTTTATTTCTTTCAATTAAAATATGTTGCTAAGGATTTTGTAGTTTGTTCCTTTATTTTTTCTTAAAATATATCCAGAACATTTTCAGAAATATGTCAATTATAAGAAATGCTTTCAATATTCATTGAATCCCTTGGGGTTTAAAGCTTCATTGATTAAACTTTTTTTTAAAGATATATTAAAGTTTTAAAACTGATCGAAATAGAACTTGAATATTCTGTGTCAAAAGTTGAAGTAGATTATTAGGAATCTAGATTTGTATATTTGTATGTTTATCTACTCAACAAAGAGTTCTAAGCATTTTTTCCTTATTCCTTCATTCTCAGTCTCTCTCTCAATTCTGGAAACTAGAGAAGTAAAGCTATCAATATTTAGGTGGACATTTTAGAGCTTTTAAACCATACATTCTAGAGATACCTCTTCAAGTCTGTTAAAACATTCTCTTTTTTTAATATTTAATCTTAAATCCTAGATGCCTCTCATTAAACCAGACCTTCAAGAGACACCTAATCCTAGAGATCTTATCAAACAATGCATCCTAGATATCCTATATATATAATTATTGTGAAACAGCTAAATAATACAATATCTCACTAAACCAGAGATATCTCTTATCTTAGAGATTTCTTTTACATCTGATGTCCATTCCATTCCATACTTTATATCCCAGTTAATTCTTCCATGTAGTTATTTAACCATGAACTACATGTATACTAATCATTCACTCATTTTTCGGCTCAATTACTTTTCAATCCATACCCTGTCAGATTGCATGGTCAGGACTCACTACCCATTCTATCAATTAATTCATCCATTCTTGGAGCAAATAAATCAGTTGAACCCTAGTTCTTGTTTAAGGTTGCATGTTCTCTGCTTTAAAATGCTTATTTTTTAAACAGAGTAAATAGAGTATATTAAGTTTAAAGTCTGCAGAAGTTTAAATAAATCTACAGAGTAAACTTGAAACTTTGATTGATTGCGCTTCTCTTAATATGAAGATTGAAAAATACAACATGGTATTTACAATTTGTGTTTAGTCATGTTAAAGCATGAAATTTTATCATTTCTGAAGATATTGGACCTTGATTTGAATATTGATATAAAATTACATAATAAAGATTTTAAACAATTTAGAAAAAAATTGAAGTTCTAGATTAAATATTTTCTCGACCTCTTTAAATTAATTTGATGAAAAGCTTGCAACCAGTTGTCTTGAATCATATTTTTAAAAACAAATTGTATAGCATTAGAATTTCCTGCGATGACTTTCTGAAAAAATCAGTTTTGTATCTTTGTATCTTTGTATCTATAGATTGCAGAATGTAGAGTGAGGAAAATAGTTGATATTAAACTTTCAATACTTAATCTTCATTTGTTGAAATACAATTTTGTGTTCTCAGTTTGGCTTTTATTTCTGTCAATGAAAAAATGTTACATGTATTTTTTTCAAATCAGAAAATACGGTTGAGAGAGAAATTGTACATAATGAACTGTACAGATTTTAGTTTGCACCTTGGTTTGAAAACGTGAGTCAAAATATTTTCTGATCTTGAACCTTGGCAATGCAAGATTAGCAGGTCTGCAGAATGCAGGAATTGTTTATTGTCGCCCATACTAGTGAGGATATACGGTATTTGTGTATATTTTGACCAAATAGGGAACATTTGGTTTTTAGATTGGGGACCGTGTCACGTCGTAGAGTCTTCTCTTATCATGATTTAACAATGAAATATATGTACATAGCACACAGCTATACTAAACACACAAATACTTGTTAGGACTTTTCAAGGGCAGTTATATAGGCTTATCGTCTTTATTTATATATAGAGTCAATGAACATGGAACTTATTATTCAGTTCCATGAATATTGAATGTCCCTGTATACTTTATTGTATTCAAGTTTTATTTTGATATAACAAAAAACTAAAATTAATGACCCATTGTTATAAATAAAGCCTTGTATAAGAAATGATTAATTGTTTGTTAAAGGATGAGAATGAATGGTTACGAGAGGAGCTGGAGGACACAGAAAAAAGGTTGGAGGATGCCCTCTCCAGGTTGGCGGAGTTAGAGGAGGAGAAGTTACACTGGACCTTCATGGAGGAGGTATAAATATAAAAACGTCTATAGAGTTGGTAACTTTTATATAGATGCAACTATTTAAAATGGGTTTAAATGAGTTGATCCCATTCGATACTAATCCCATCTCAAATATGAATGATACAATAGAAGTTTCTGTTAAGTTCTTGGCTATGTTTAACTGTATAATGTATATCATCTGTGTTTTTAATTCAACCAAGTTGTGACTAAAATAACATCACAGAGAGAGAGAGAAAGAAAAACATCAAAACTCAAAAGGATTTAAGAATTCTAATTAAATCTTGATATGCATATTCAGGGGGGACCAAGTCCAACTTATTTTTACTGTCTACTTGGTGTAAACAAACAAGAAGTACTGGAAGTATTTCTTGTTCAGAAGCATGACAGTTTGTCACTGCTGGGGGGTTTTAACTTCGTAGTTATCACAGGATTCCCAATTACTACCTCAATAAGCGTATTTGCAAATCATGAAACTAAAGAACAAACATTGTTGCGTCTCCAAACTTACAGGAGTCTGCCGAGATTATTTCAGCAGGAACTCTCGGTGTCCGAGGACTTCAGGTGTCCAGGAAACTCTCGGTGTCAGAAGACTGCAGGGACTTTGATGTCAGAAAAGTTCATGTGACCAGGAACTCTCAGTATCCAAGGACTTTAGGTGTTTATGAACTATCAGTATTCAAGGACTTCAGGTGTCCAGGAACTCTTAGTATCCAACGACTTAAGATGTTTAGGAACTATCAGTGTCTGATGACTTCAGGTTTCCAGGAACAATAACTCCATTTGTCTAGGAATTCCAAGTGTACACTGTACAGGAACTACCAGGAAAAGTAGGGGGGAAAAGCGTTCATGTTTTCTGGGCTTTAAATGTTCAGAACTTTCAGATGTTTTTGGACTTCTGTGTGCAACAATCTAGGTTTCCAGTGTTCAGGAAATCTATGGTTTCAAGAACCTCTGATGTGTTTAGGTCCAGGCCATAAGGATCACATGAACTCATCAACTCAAGTTGATCCGAAATCCAGGAACTGTCGAAAGGTTTCCTGGTTTCCGCATGTCAGGAATCAGGATTGTGTTATGGAACTCTAGAACTGAACTTGTTCTTTAAATTAATTTCATGTTATCAATGTTGGTTAGATCTCAATGTTTGTAATTTTCCAGAACTCCACATCGTGTACCTTATTTCATCTATTCTTTTTAATATATTCTAAAGTTAAAAGGCAACCGAACAATTTATTGAGTTGCAAAAAGACCGCGAAGTCAACCCATAGCAAACAAATAAACCCTTCCCGTTATACCAATCTAAACCTTTGAATAATTTTACATCAGAAACGGTTGGCACCACTTTGCAAAATAAAGCTCCTGGTTTTGTCGACTTTTAGTTTATGTAGTCTTAGCAATGTTTAAAGAAAGTAGTATTTCTCTGTGCGGCATCATGTACTTCAGAAGAAATCTATATATAAATTTGGCTTGTCCGTCTGTTTGTCTGTTTGTTTGCTTGTATCCAATAAACGTCAAAACGGCTGAACCGATCGAGCCCAAATTTGTTGTGGGACATCACTTAACCACAGGGAAGGTTTATGAATGATAAAAAAATGTGTTTTAAAGGTTTTTAATTTTGTAAAAAAATCTAAATTCTTGAAAATCCGCGATTTTTTTTTTTTAAATCCGCAAACATTTTTTCTTTTTTGTTTTAAAATGTAAACAAAAAGAACATGTTCACAATTTAAATGCCTAGTATTAATAAATTTTAGTTTGCATAATACCCCTCTGCTGTCTATATTCCTTATATGGCTGCAAGGCGTGGCGTTAAGACGGATGTAAATAAAGATTTTGCATTCATCACTGTTTTTTTCAGGTTCGGAGAGGAGAGCAAGAGGCGGACTTGAGACCGATAACTCCAAGTAAAATCCCTGTCGGAGCCTGGAGAGCAGAGGAGGAGAAAGCGATAAACCGAGCTTTAAACGGACCCAACGGGAGTATGGATTCGAACCGGCAGTCTTCAGAGAGAGCTATATCCCCGGCTCCACCCTCTAGAATCCCCAAATTTTCTTTCAAACTCGGGGCGAACTACAGAGCAGTGCAGGTGAGCTATTAATATGATTCCCGGCGTTTTTCCCGTCCTAACTAACCTTTTTGCTAAAAAGGAATTGAGTTTTTTTCCACAAACTTAAATTTTCTAATTTCTTTATCTTTGCAACCCGATGGTATAAGCCTTTAAATTTCAAACCTCAAAAAGTGGTAATGCACCAATTACTTTACATGTTCCATCTTTTCAGGAAACCCCAATATCTAAAGATTTTATAATTTTTTACAAATTCTTCGTCTAAAAGCTGGCTAACCTCATTTACAAAGGGTTGTAATATTCTATTTAGAATTTTTTTTTACAAATGTTCAGCTAAACCAAATACAATTTTGGTTCTTATAATTTAGATTCAATTGAAATTTTAAGAACATTTAACTTAAATTTAGCCTGACTTAAATCATATTTTCATCTAGTCTGAAACATGGAGTTTGATAGGGAAAATATCTCTATAAATATGTAACTGAGACGGAGCAAAAAGTTAAAACTGAACCCTCTTCTTTGTGTTGTAAACCTGTATAAATGAATATTGAATATTTGTTTATAGTTCTCAGCCAGGCAGGATAAATGCAATTTCCAGTCCAACTAAAACATATTCACACATCCTACCCTCTCCTCCATCTACACTGTATATCTTTATTTCAGGAGAAGATAGAGAAGGCTAACAATGAGCGTGAGGAGAAGGGGAGGAAAATGCGAGGGAAACGTCACAAATTAACCCTGACCCCGGCCACATCACACTCCAAGATCCCGAGTAGATGACAGGAGGAGGATATCACGCAGAGTCTTCATATACCACGCTCCAAGTCCCAAGGGAGACAGGGGACTAACCTGCTACAAAAGTGCAGAAGTGATTCTAGTCTCACTCGATACAGTAGAACCCAGCTCCGGCCTGTACTCGGAGGAGATTTCTAATCCATGTACAGTGTGTACATAACCTGGTACAATGCACAACTATAAATAGTGTTTTTTATAGAACTCTTTATACGAAATTATAGATGGCGAGAAGAAAACCTAACATAGATATTTCTCAACTCCGAAGATAATTAAAGTTTTGTTAAGATTGTATAGATTATTAGCAGATATCTTGCTAAAGACATTTACCACAATTTCCCATAGTCCGGTAATAATTTTCAAATTTAATTTAACTAATCAACAAATGGAATTTTCATGAATTGTACTGAACATGAAACAGAAATTATACTTTAAGCTTCATTTATATTTCAATACCTCTATCTATACGCTGTACTCTGCATAATAGTTTATTTTTACTGTACACAGTTACGCAGAAAGGTCAAATTTTATTGAAATTAACGAGTTGCATTTTTTTAGAATATTAAGAAAATATCAAAAAGTTTAAATTTTTGAATAATCTGCACAAAAATCTTTCAACCCAAAAAAATACAATATTTAAGTATAAACTAAAGACTATTTGTGTACAGTTTTACATCTCCTCAGAGGCTGAATAATATTTACGTTTACGTGCAAATGCAACCTAATATTACACAAATGGAAATTTTAAATATAGCAGTTCAAATTCTAGTCGAAACATGCAAAACAACTTGTACACTGCACAGTGTACAGGGTACAACCAAAAGTTGTTCCATTTGTTCCATGTTCCAAAATTATGAATTAAATCACTAAAATTTACGGATTTGAAACAACGTGATCGTTATTATATTCAGACATATTATTTGAATCTTTAAACTTCTCTTGTTTAACCTGATCAATGAGACTATGTGACACTAATCCTTTTAAAAAGCACAAAATATTTATTCAAATTTACGGGGAACACAGATTCAATTTTTTTTCAGGCCCTGTTTTTTTGTGGCATCCTTTCTCCCATTAATAAGATGTTGAACCCTCTCTAATCTTAATTTGAATATTAAGTTACAGTTGAGAGTTTCATATGTAATAAGACGCCTTGGCTTGAATTTTCGGGTTTAATTCTTAAATATATATTCAATATTCATGTATTATATTGTCTAAGAGATCTAGTTATAGATATATTACACATGTTTATGCATTAAGCTGGTGATATTAACTCCAGGATGAACCTGGTTTTTACTACTATTGATATCTACGGGAAGATTAATACATTGTTGCGCTTCCAGGTCGTAGTTAATTATTGAGAGAGATTTAGAGATAGAGATTTAGAGATAGAGATTCAGAGATAGAGATTTAGAGATAGAGATTTAGATATAGAGATTTAGAGATAGAGATTCAGAGATAGAGATTTAGAGATAGAGATTTAGAGATAGAGATTTGGAGATAGAGATTTAGAGATAGAGATTTAGAGATAGAGATTTAGATAAAGAGATTTAGATATAGAGATTTAGATGTAGAGATTCAGAGATAGAGATCTAGAGATAGAGATCAAAATATAGAGATTTAGAGATAGAGATTTAGAGATAGAGATAGAGATTTAGAGATAGAGATTTAGATATAGAGATTTAGAGTTAGAGATTTAGAGATAGAGATTTAGAGATAGAAATTTAGAGATAGAGATTTAGAGATAGAGATTTAGATAAAGAGAATTAGAGATAGAGATGTAGAGATAGAGATTTAGAGATAGAGATTTAGAGATAAAGATTTAGATAAAGAGATTTATATATAGAGATTTAGATATAAAGATTTTTATGTAGAGATTTAGAGATAGAGATTTAAAGATAGAGATTTAAATATAGAGATTAAGAGATAGAGATTTAGATAAAGAGATTTAGAGATAGAGATTTTGATAAAGATATTTAGATATAGAGATTTAGAGATAGAGATTTAGAGATAGAGATTTAGATATAGAGATTAAGAGAAATAGATTTAGATATAGAGATTTAGAGAAAAAGGTTTAGAGATAGAGATTTAGATATAGAGATTTAGAGATATAGATTTATATATAAAGACTTAGATATATAAAGGTTTAGAGATAGCGATTAAGCGATATTATATTATTAATCATACATTTCATCCTCCTATAGAATCCATGTTGTTGACTATATTATATGACAGAAAGACAGGCAGTGACAGATCAATTACTGTTTGATGATCCATGCATAATTTAAATATGCCTTCTTCATTCACTCTTTTTTTTTACTTCGAGCTGTTTTATATCTTTGCAACCTGTTGGTGTAAACCTTTGATATTTTAAACTTCGACTATCTGATCCAAAAAAAATCATGAATAGAAATATCAAAGTTCTACGACATCGAGGTATAAAGGTTATTCCACATTGTTTATCTAGTAAATTAATTATTTATTAAAAGAAAATTAACCTTTTACTTTTAATATCAAATCCTTATCTAAAAATGGTCTTTGAATTTGTACACAGACTGATAAGTTATAGAATAGAGATATGTTATTTATGTAAATAGTATGTCAATTCTAAGTTCAATATGCAGTGATCAAAATAAAGCATTAACTGTGTTAATATTTTTTTCGTGTTTTTTAAAGTGGAGAACTACGAATTTCTTATAAATAAATCAAGCATAGGAAGAGTAACGCGTACGCCCGTGAAAAAAAGCAATTGATTCAATAATACAGACACAGAAGGATATCAAACTTATAGATGAGGATGGATATGGTATAAAATTGGTCTGAATCCGATATTTACGTTTAGGTTTTATTACGAAGCTCCAGGCTTTAATTTATTCATTCAATTCATTTAAAAATTAGCATAATATAGAACAGTAGACAGATTGAAGGATCAAGGGCGTTATAGAAGGGGGCATTATTGGTCACTTGTGACATTATATGGATATTTATGAAATTCAGTTAACAAAATAGAAAATTTTAATTTTTGTTTACATTTTGAAATCTTCAGCTTTAAAAAAGGGAAATACAACTTGAGGGGGGGGGGGAGTTTGAGGGATGAAGTATCCTAGACTTCCCCCCCCCCTTCATCCAGTTACGCCTACAGGGTGAAGAAGGATTATTGAAGGTTCATTGTAAGATATGAATTAAAATTGTTCTGCAATCTTAACGATCGTTTTTATAATCACTCATTCCAGACCAGTTAATTACGATTTGTAGTCTGTTGTGCAGGCTTTGTTGGACCAAGTACATTTAATATCCTAGTGCTCAGGCCCTCCCTAGTGGCTGGTTAGTAATATATCTTGTTTTATCTTAGTCACGTATACTATGATTATAATCTAATCCAAGTTTACGCTCTGGTTTGGGTTCTGCAGATGTTATGATACTAACCTATACCTTTCCTGTTTATTATTTAGTTGATAGGCACGGATCCTTTTTCTTTATACACAGATCAATAGCTCCAATCTTCTGGTTATCCCGGAGTTCCAAACCTTCGGTCTTATCTGATCACCAACCCTTATCTATCTTGGAGTAAACTCTGCAGTTCCCAGTCCTCCTAGTTTATCAAGAAGTAAACACTCCAATCTCTTCTAGTTAGTCCTGGAGTAAACCCATTAATTTTCAAATCTTTTTTCCTATCTGTAGTTTCCAACCCTTCTTCTTCTAAAGTAAAGTGTAAATCAAGTAGACTTTAGCTAACCCTGGATAAACCTAGTTCCAACTATCTTCTAAACGTCTCCAGTCAGCACCGAAACCTGGAGTTTTTTTCTATTTCATATGCAATCAATTAATACATTGCCCAAACCTTGTTTGGATAATTGTATCGGCTTATTATCTGTTGTTGGGAAAAGTACAATTCATGGTTCAACTTGGTTTAAAGATCTTAGATGATTCATCAGATACCAGATGCTTCAAAGTACACACTCCGTAAGATATCCAATAAACACTTAACTTCAATACTTAGATGCCATTATGATATCTTATGGATATAGAGCAAACAAATATAATCATACAGAATAGAATATATATTAGAGGGGAATTTACTAGAAAAAAGTGTAAAACGGCCATTTTGTTGAACTGTTTCCATACTGCAGAGCCCGAAACTTAAAAGAGTATTGTTGAACGAAATTCCCGAGTTTCCTTTTTGGGGTCTTAAGATTTGTGTAGATTTTGATTTAAGAGATTCGAAAAAAATGGAGAATATAAACAAACTGAAAAAAATAATATTTCATTACAAAAATACTGATATTCACAAAAAATGCCTAAACCCATTCGTGAAACCCGGGTTTTAAAACTGGTTGTCATAACGATACCCTGTCTTAAGTTTTTGGCTCAGGTGTACTTCACATATTTATGCTATATAACCTTTTGGGCCCTGGAATATCATTTTATTGAAAATCTAAAATTATTGTTAAAAGAAAACCAAATTATGAAATAGGCTGGTTTCATAATTGACCAATGATCATTTCACATAGACTCTATGCCTTCCACTTTACAAATGATGATTTTCCGTTATAACTATAAATCAAATGATGTTTTTTATTCGCCTAATTCATTATAAAGTTTATTTAACGTTTAAAAAAATCGAAATTGAAATGAATAGTCTAGGGAACATACTGTATTAATGTACTCTACTGCATATAATTTGTGAACATTTACATGATTTGTACACTTTGAACTCCCTTTCAGGCTGAAAGGGACTGAAAAAATTCATACCGAGAGATTCTTTAAATTCCCCTCTAATATATATTCTATTCTCTATGAATATAATAGTTGACTGTCCTAATACTTTTTTCTGAACATATTTTGAAAACGATAACCTTACAAATTGCGTGTTTATATTATCTAAGTGCAGGTATATATATTTCCATTGCTCTGCTGATAATCCGATTAAGATACCGCTGAGCTGATTTTATCCCCTTCCCCTTCCCCTTACATTGCTCCCAAACCCTTGTCAAACATTTTAGATGCATATCAATGCAGGACTGCATGCCGGGCATAACTGTAATTTTTTCACTGAACTCTGGCATTATACAAAATATGTTTGCCTGGGGATAGGTGTAGTAGCCGCGGATACCAGGATCAGCTCGAACCACAGCTTTTAACCATTCTACCACATTGTGTTTCTTCCTCGGGTCATGTATTAATAGGGACACTTTTAACCTCGAGAAACAATTCTTTGTAAATTATCTTAACACTGTCATCAAAGATCCAATTGGCACAAAACCCGAACAGTGCAAAACATGTTGGTTTATGTTTTGCTGTTTTTATCTACACTGCATATATAAAGTAAACTATAGGCAAGCATATCTTTAACTCTGAGTTTAGTTCCAGACGTAGGTCTTAGTTCCAAACCTTGATCTTAATTCCAAAACTAGGGCTTAGTACCAAACATAAAGCTCAGTAACAAACATACAATTCAATTCAAAATCTAGAGCGCAGTTCCAATTCTAGAGCTCAGTTCCAAAACTAGAGCGCATATCCAAAACTAGAGCGCAGTTCAAAATCTAGAGCTTAGTTCCAACCCTAACTATTGGTTCCAGGGGCGGATACAGGATTTAAGTGACGGGGGGGGGGGGGGCAAGATTTTTTAGGAACAAAAAAATTAATAATTAGGAACAACAAATCGTGCCGCAAAAAAGAGTCAAAATTAATGACTAAAGACTAAAAAACTAGATTTTTAACTTTAAGGAACAAAATTAACGGATTAGAACAGGAATTTAGGAACAATTAAAAGATTGTTCAGGAATTAGGAACAAAAATAAAGGATTAGGACAGGGATTTAGGAACAATAAAAAGATTGTTCAGGAATTAGGAACAAAAATATTGGATTAGGACAGGGATTTAAGTTGGGTCGGACACAGTATTAGGAACAGGAACAATAATAGGAACATTAGCAATTTAAAAACAAAAAGAAATTACTAGTTATACTTAAATGCATCAAAATCAGGACCAATATTACAATTTTGATAAATGAGTATTGATTAAGGAACATTACTAGATATGAACAATATTATAGTTTCTTACAAATTTCTAATTCTAAATTTATCGTTAACAATAACATTTACTTGTTGTCGGTGATTTTTAAATTAAACTGAAGAAAAGAAAGTCAAGATTTCCATTAAATAAAAAAGAGCTTGAAAGTGAAAAACACTTACGATTTATAAAATTGGGAACATTTTTTGGCTTCAAATCTCAGAGAGGGGCTACGCCCCTCCCTGAATCTGTCAGGGGGTGGCAAATGTCCCCCCGCCACCCCCCTGTATCCGCCCCTGATTGGTTCCAACCCTAAAGTTCAGTTCCAAACCTATAACCCGGTTCCAAACCTAGATCTTAGTTCCAGAACTAGAGCTCTGTTCCAACCCTAGTTCTTAGTTTCGGTTCGACCCTGGAGTTTAGTGCCAAACTTAGAGCTCAATTCCAAACCTAGAGTTCAGTTCAAAACTTAGAACTCATTTCCAAACCTATAGATCAGTTTCAAACCTAGAGCTTAGTTCCAAACCTGGAGATCAGTTCCAAAACTAGCGCTCAGTTCCACGCCTATAGCTCAGTTTCAAACCTAGAGCTTATTTCCAAACCTAGAGCTCCATTCAAAAAATAATGCTTAGTTTAAAACCTAAAGCTCAATTCCAAATTAAAGCTCCATTCAAAGCCTCGATCTCAGTTCCAAAACTAGAGCTAAAAATCCAAAACTATAGCCCAGTTTTAAAGGTAGAGCTAATAGTACCAAATATAGAGCTTCAATACTGAATATTGGTTCTGAACTTATAGCTCAATTCCAACATAGAGATCAATTTTAAATTCTGAACTCAGTTCTAGAATAGAGCTTATTTTTTAACATAAAGTTTAATCTTAGTCATAGAGCTCGGCGTCAAACCTAGAGCCCAGATTAATACGAACATTCTTTCATAACGCAATTAATCTAGGCCTAGATATAAGTTCCACATGTGTCCAAACGCAGTTTGCTTGTGCCATCTCACTTAGAACCATAGAGAAAGGAAACGAAGAGGTAAAGCTTACCTCAGATGTACACATTGTATTTATTGGGGGTGGTTAAATGTAGATAATTAAATATTTGTATAGATAGTTAAAAACATTTAATATGAATTGTAACGCAGGATTGTATACTGCAGTACATTCCAGTTCAGTTGTTTGTTTATGTTCAGACAAGAAAGACAAAATATTGCATCGTGAGAAAATGCACGAACATTAAGCTATGAGCACATTTTGCCTCTTTGATTTTTTAAAGATTTCTAAATGTGTTAAAATCCATAAAAGGAATTAAGTCTTAGTCACAAATTCTGATTTTCTAATTCCTGTATCTTTAAAACCAAATACCTTAGCTATTTCAACCTATGAATTTTGTTAGATTAAATAATCTAAGTTTGAAATATCAAAAGTTTACACTACAGCATAAGGTTGCAAAAATTAGGGATTAGAAAATTAGAGTTTGTGGCAAAGACTCAAATCCTTTATTTAAAAATTGTCAAATGTTTGCAGTCAACATCCTCTAGTTATCTTTATATAAAGAAAGAAAATCTAAAAATTTATAATTCCATAAAATCCCCCCTAGAAATACAATCACTTTATATAGAAGTGTACAGTGTTAGATACGTAAACATATCGTGATGTACACAACCGACCACCCTATTAATTAATTAATAGGGTGGTAGGTTGCGTTCATCTAATTCGTTTCCTTTCTCTTTGCTTAGACCCAAAAATGTTGAAGGAATATATTGTGTTTGTTTATATTTGGACGGTGTGTGTGTGTGTTTCTTGGTTTATACAGTGCGTAGATTGGTTCATGTGTATACGTGAGTCCACCAAACCACACTTGAGAATAGATAGATCTTTAACAGATTAGATTTGTCTAGGTTCAGTTATAAAGATAAGGTTTGATTGGAGCACCAGCTATTTTTCTTAAATATCTGAAAGACGTAAAATAAAGATACCCGTATCTGTTCAGTGTACAGTGATGGTACAATGATCATAAAATAGATCCGCGGTTCCAAGATTCTAAACAAGGAACCAGTCGCTAGACTCCCAATAGGTTACATAAACTGATCCTAGAGTATGCAGGGTGCAACCCCAGTCCGGAGTTCTGAGTCATCATTCTATACAATTTAATGCTGTACTCTGCTGCAACTTTATCTATTCTTAGGAGTAGAGCCTACCCATCTCTCTGTAACTTTATCTATTCTTAGGAGTAGAGCCTACCCATCTCTCTGTAACTTTATCTATTCTTAGGAGTAGAGCCTACCCATCTCTCTGTAACTTGATCTGAAAAAGTAGATTTTTCGTCTGTTAAATCATTATTTAAACTATTTTATTGTTTAAAATCATAAAACAGTATGCTGGTAATAAAAACATGGTATTTAAATATGCATGTTAATCCTTAAATAAAAAATCTGACAGTTTCGTAATCAAGTATTGGGCTAGGAATACTTTTACATTTGGTGGCTAACTTAAGGAAATAATGTTCTGCGGATTTTTTATCTAAAACTTCCAAAAACTAACTGACTTGACCAAAATATCTGTATCTGTACCTTCAACATACAGATACATTTACACTAATAATTCAGAGTGGAGTATCTTATATCTTGAGTTAAACAGTTATTACCCTGATGGTGAAGCAGTTCCACAGAAATATTTGAAAAGTTTAGTTATTTTATACCTTGAAATATACAAGGTGTAGATAAACGGTTTGTCAATTGAAAGAACTTCCTGATGCGAGAGCTCTGCTATAAGTGACCGCTGCAAGTCTTGTCTCAGGGGTATTCAAACCCAATCTTGCTGAAAATATCACGATTCCTGGAACCCTGCAGAGTAGAGAATAGTTTCCTGGTTCTCCTTTCTTCATCAAAGAGCTAAATGCTCTCTAATTTTTTCATCTGTCTATTTACGCATATGCAATATATATTTACTATTTAGCTTGTCTGCCTGTACCATTAAAACAAAACGGCCGAATCAACTTTTTGTGGTACTCCAACTATAAAATGTCTCTTTATAAAAAATTAGAAATAAGTTCATTAATTTTGACATTAAAATTAGAATAATAGCGACAAGCATTAATTTTAATCTTTCATATTCTTCGTACGTGGTCCCTTTACCTCCAGTGCGTCATTACACGCATTTAAAACCTATTCCGTTCCTAATACCATAAAATTCTATTTTACGCTTTAGTTTTTTACCCTGGTAATATTTCCTTGTATTCTTGGTTCTGAGAATAAGTTTAAAGTGTATACGTATACTGGATAGTGTTGTAGATAATTTGAATAACGAACTAGTCAATTATTCTAATTAAAATTCAGTTTAGATATTTTTAAGTAAAAGGTACTGCGCAATTTATGGTAAAGGGACTGTTTGACTTTAAGCGACCTTCTATTTAAAAAGGAACGTGTCCGATTGATAAGGTTACCCTTTAAACCTTTGTCTATTCAATAATGTGGAAGGTATCGTGTTTTTTTTCAGACTTGAATGTGTTTATTTCTGACAAGTCCTACGTTGTTTCTGCGTAGAAATCCGAGAAACCACAGGGAACAATTTTTAAATGAAAAACGTGGATATCTCATTAATATTTGGTCTGACAAAGCTTATATGTGTCACAGTGATGATCCAAAGATTGCATTATCTCACGAAAAAATTGATAAAATTTTCTTTAATTTCTTCTTTAAAATTAAAGCTAAAAACAAGTGCTTTATGGTTCTCAGCGTAGATGTCGCTTTACAGTGAATCCAGTTTTGAAAATTAATGTAAGTTTGTATACCAGTCAGGATCTATGTGGGGTACCGATGTGAATAGGATATGCCACTCTATAAATAGAGGGTCACTTGAAATTATGTCTACAGTGCCTCAGATTCTGGATACTTTTTACTAGACTCACGCATTTTCAAGCTCGTGAATCAAATTAATTTCAGTCACTTTTTACCATATTTGACACATTAAACTTAGGACTATCGTATTGTATTGTACGTTCTCGTTTGAGCCATTTGTTATAAAATAAATAAAAGTATACAGAAAATAATGGCGATAAGGAGACACAATAATCTAGTAACAAAAGATGAGACTTCAGAGACGATTGTACGGAATTTGTTTAGTCCGTTGTCTTCTATTCAGGTTTCCTTGCAGTTCAGAATGGCTTATTTCTGTGCTTAATCATTTATTTAGGGAACCATTGAAATAATTAATTTAATGCAGAAACCAAAAATCAAGGATTTAAATCGTCACACTTCAAGGGTTTTGGGTCGTCTTTACAGTCATATCCTTTGTGGGTAACCTTGTATCTACTTAAAATATATTTATTTTTTCAGTGAATCAATTGATTTACAGTGTAGTTTGCTTTTCTCTTCATTTTTTATATTGTACCATCTAGTTAATCTACCCAGTCATTTAAAATCCGTTTATTCTTATTTTAAAATGCCACACCCACTTTGGATCTTACCGGCTCCACCCATAATTTCCCTAATTATCTTGTTTATGCTGGGTTTAGGTTCAAATTTCTCCGGGCGGGTAGGGAAGTGATGTAACCGGAAACCCGGATAACAAGATCTTTTTCTATCCGTAGAAATCTTGTTTTACACAATTATACAGCATTGTTTACAATTGCTCTAAGCTATGCTCTAATTTATTTTCAACATTCAATTAAACATACAGCATTAAATAATTAAATACTGAGTAATTAAATATAGAGCAATAACTAATGTTAATATAAGAGCAAAAACAATACAAGTTAAATCTTGAATTTGAAATGTTTTGAATTCTACCTCAGTCTCATTGCTAACTTTTGCAATATTTGCAGTAAACTAAATATATACTCTTGTCTGTAGAACCAAATGTATTAGGTCACGAGGTCAAAATTAATAAATTCAATGCATGTCTAAAACGGAATATTATCATTCTCAAAATTTATCCTCTCCGCAGTGCGTTTAAAGGAAATGAATCTTTGCAACAAAATCTTATTTTCTAATTTTTATGTCTTCTCAACCAAATGTCGTAGACCTTAGATATTTCAAACTATGAATTCTGATCAAATAGTCTAAGTTTAAAATATCAAAGGATTACGCTATTAGTTTTTAAGATATATAGGTTAAAAATTCGAGTTTGTGGCTAAAACTCAATTCCTTTATTTTTAAACATATGAAAAATAGTTTGCGTTATCTCTTGATAAAGTTTTTAACGAATTGTACAATTCTTCTCATAGAGATATCATTCAACTGGGAAAAGATAAGATAAAACAACAAATATTAAATATATTTGATATGACGACAGGACGGAAACAAAGATTAAATGTTGAAGAATTTACTGAATACTCTGATCGTTATCTCATGGTACCTATATATATCTATATACTTATATACCTCACAGTTGACCATTGTTTGACGAAACATGTGGAGACAAGGATTCCATTATTCTTCATGCAAACAATAAACTTGACAAACACGGATACAGACAAACTTACAAACAATCAATGACTTAAAGGAAAAACACAAAACTTTTTATATTTTTAATGAAGAAACTGTAAACACAAGTAAACACAAGAGTCAGTCCTGTATTACAAGAGGAGTAAACACAGAACTCCTGTAATGCTGGAGGAGTAAACACAAGACTCCTGTATTACTAGAGGAGTAAACACAGAACTCCTATAATGCTGGAGGAGTAAACATAAGACTCCTGTATTACTAGAGGAGTAAACAAAAAAAAAATAATAATCAGTTAATAATGAAAAGTATATATGCGCTGAGCTGGAAACTTTTGTGTTCTCGATGTCGACAATGGTCACTTTTAATTTGAATATCAATACTTAATCTCTCTATTTCAGTTATCCCTTCAAGGTACAACTAAACTGCAGTTGTCGAATAAAGATTAAATTAATCTGCAGAATAACATGAGATCGAGATTAAGCTTAGAGCTTGATATATACAATATAAGAGTTTCCAGCTCAGGCCCTTATTTTTCAAATCTTGTAAATTTTTTTAATTTCAATAACTTATTCTCTAACTTGAACCAGTGCAGGGGAAGGGGGGGGAGGAATTGCCAAAGAAATAATGTTTTAGATGAAAAGTGGTTCTGTCAGAAACCTCAACCCAATAGAAAGAATGAAATCACCTGGTCTACCACAAACCCTAACAAAATAGAGGATATCAGAGATCAGGGAGTTTAAAAAATCCTAAGTTGGTCTAGGGTTGTTAATAGAAAACTCTTTCCCATCACCTGGTTTGTTGGATTTGCAGTTGGTGTAATCAAATATTCGGAAATGTTGAAGACAAAAGTTTAGAGGTTCTGGTTTATTCAGGATAAAGGAAGTTCTAAAACTGATTGATTGTTTGAAGTCTCCAGGAAAGGTTCCAGGCCTGCTAAACTCTTTAGGACCTATATTCACGACTTTTTTCTCCTGGTAAAGTTTAAAAGTTTGTTTCTATTTTGATACCAAACCTAGAAATCTGGATCAGATAAGGAAAGCGGGGAGATGAATGCAAATAGCGTCCTTTAAGACACTCTCATTAGAACAACTGAGCCGGGAACTTTTCTGTTGGATACTCATAATCCCGATCCACAGATCTCAATATCCACAGTGAGCACTTTTAATTGAGTAATCTCATCATTTCAGTTATCCCTTCGGTGGATATGTACACTGCGAATATCGAATAAAGATCAAATTAATCTGCAGATTAGCAAAGATTAAGCATTGATCTCGATATCCACAATTCCCTATCGAAAAAGAGGAACTGTTTGCCTGGAGAATGAGATAGGACACTAGAAATTTCAAACATCTTGTAATCAAAATAATAATTAATATTTTATTGTATTATCATTGAAGATAAAAAATTAACATTATTACAATATTGCATTGTTGTTAAATAACTTATTTTGATGACATTGGATGCAATATTAATTAGAAAGTTTCTCATTCTTACTGTACATAAACAATTTCTATAGTCTATATCTATAAAGCAGTATGTCTCTTTTTGTCTGTTTGTATTTCCGATCATAACTAATCAACCCCATGACCGATTTGCCTCCAATTTTAATGGGGGGAACCCGTTAGAACCACAGGGATGTTCTTAGCTTGGTTTAACCATTCCAAAGGAATGGGTTAACTTTAATAGTGAATTTTTAGTTTCCGGACAAAGCTGGGTTCCCAAGCTATTGTATATATATATAAAGTAGTAATCTTTTTGTGTGTTTGTTTATTCGTATATCCTGGACCGATTTGCCTGTAATTTTTATTGGTGAACTCGGTAGAGCCACAGGAGTTTTCTTAGATTGGTTAAAAAAGTTGAATAAGTTGACTTTTTTAGTTTAATGGCATAGTTGTGCTTCCAAGCTAGTATATTATTGTGTTATGGTTAGTATTCAACCAGGAGAGAAATACTAAGATCTGAACCAAGAGTATTGACTTCATGTTTCCAATAATCTGAACTGTAAACCAAGACATCTCCTAAAAAGGAACTTGTTATTCCCCTTATTTAACCCTACATGAGGTTGCAAATATATAAGGATTAAAGAATTAGAGTTTGAGACCAATCATTTGTTCTTTTAGAATACAGAAAAGGTTAAACAGACAATAAATATATTTTTTATCCAGACTCCAGAAATATTTGGTGGAGAGGTTGCGTTACTTTACTTAATAATTTTAATCAAAGAACTCTTCAATATAAAAGGATGTAAAACACTCTTTATTGATAATTTAAAACTGAAATATTATTTTTTTCTTTTCTATCTTTGGTAAATTGCATACCGTGCAATACAATCATACAATCAATACTGCATTGAACAAGTGCAATATTTTGTGTGTTAAAGGCAGACTTTATATCAATGAAATAAATTAGTTATCTATCTATCGAAATCTTTTCTCTTTTTTTCGGAAAATAAGCAATTAAGGCAAATAATTTTATGAAATTTTGGGAATCAGTATCCCGGAAAGCTACCATTAGGACCCCTGATAGGTCTGTAAGTACAAACCTGCAGGATATAGTTAAACCCTAGTATCTCCTGGAAAAACCTGGATATTGTTGAACCCTAGTATCTCCTGGACAAACCTGGATAGAGTTGAACCCTGATACCTCCTGTACAAGTCTGGATAGAGCTGAACCCTGATATCTCTTGGACAAACCTGGATATAGTTGAACCCTGATATCTCCTGGACAAACCTAAATATAATTTAACCTGACATCTCCTGGACAAACCTGGATATAGTTAAACCCTGATATCTCCTGGACAAACCTGGATAGAGTTGAACACTGATATCTCCTAGACAAACCTAAATATAATTTAACCTGATATCTCGTGGAAAAACCTGGATAGAGTTGAACCCAGATATCTCCTGGACAAACCTGGATATAGTTGAGCCCTGATATCTCCTGGACAAACCTGGATAGAGTTGAACCCTGATATCGCCTGGACAAACCTGGATATAGTTGAGCCCTGATATCTCCTGGACAAACCTGGATAGAGTTGAACACTGATATAGCCTGGACAAACCTGGATATAGTTGAACCCTGATATCACCTGGACAAACCTGGATAGAGTTGAGCCCTGATATCTCCTGCACAAACCTGAATAAAGTTGAAACCTGATATCTCCTGGACAAACCTGGATAGAGTTGAACCCTGATATCTCCTGGACAAACCTGGATAGAGTTGAGCCCTGATATCTTCTGCACAAACCTGAATAAAGTTGAAACCTGATATCTCCTGGACAAACCTGGATAGAGTTGAACCCTGATATCTCCTGGACAATACCAAGAGCACTCTGGAGGTGGAGTAAACACTATCTCTCTCGTTCCTTTTATCTAATTAACAAATATTTCAGTTGCATTTCTACAGCCTAGGATAGTAGACCTCTGCTAGAAGCTCTCTGCACTATTTGCAGTGGACGCTGAGAAAGGTGTCTGCACCTATGGAGGGAGAGAAGGCCAAGCGGCCCTGAACCCCGTGCTCAATTAGCTAGTCTCCTTCTTAACTACAGTACCCACGGCCTGGGTACTAAGTCAAGAAAAACAAAAACAAAAAACAAAGAGCTAATATGTCTAATAATAAACCGGTTTTATATCCACTCCACATAGCCCTTTCTGGAAGGGCCCTGTCCCTACTCCCTGAGCAGAGCGGATAAAAGGGAACAACTCCGCATTCTGTATGCAATGGTTTACACTAAAGGAATTCCGCTGAACTGGGATACAGTATAAAATGTGGACAAGTGGAGTGATTTTAACGAAACATTCCTAATACGCCACTCCTACAAACCCTTATCCTCATCTCCACTTGAAGTGCAGGAGTGGTGACCTAGCACATGCAAGTAGAATGTTCAGGGCTGAGGCTGTAACGAAAATTAAGCAAAACAAAAACGGATAGGGGGACATCTATACAATGAAAGGGTGATCCTGCACTGTCTTATAATGGCGCAAAGACAGCGACTCGTAAACATTCTTTCAATAGCAGCGCAATAAATGGACGGACCAAGGGAGGCAAGAAAAATAGAAACCGCGGACGTACAGATAAATAAAGAAGACAAAAGATGAACATTTGAAATTATTAACTATGAATCGAACCATTTTATTTTACAAAAATTATAAAAACATATTCAAAAAATTAACAAATATTTATTCTTTACTAGCGCTTATTGTCCAAACTTCAATTACTTATTTTAATTAACAAATTTCATTTGAGAATAACTTTATATGTATGAAAAGTGTCAAATTAATGAATATTTTATGATAAAATTGTGTTGACCTGGAAGTTTTTTTTCAGATTTTTTCTTGATTTTCTAGATTTAACGCTTCGAATTACAGGATGCTATTAAAGTTTATAGTGGTACCCTTTAGACTTTTATAAAAGTTTCGATGTTAAAGATATCTTTGTTTTATTATTCAATATTTCATAATTGCGATTTGCCAACTTGCTAATATATAAAGCAAAGGCGAGCCAAAAAACTATGGTTTGGGTTTTGAAATATTGATTTAAGGGGACCCTGTAAGGGGACCCTTTAAGGGGACCCTTTAAGGGGACCCTGTAAGGGGTACTGTTGTAAATGATTTATCGATCATACTTTACTTAAATTATTATTTAATTTAAATCTAATTCTCAAATTTCATAAAATCTTTAAAAAATAAATCTATAGTATCTGAGTAGTAGTAGTAGTAGAAAGAGGAACTACCTGCAGATCCCAGAAACTAGTCTCCTGACCCTCCCGACCCATTATAGTTGATGCTCCAGGGGTACCTAAACAATGTTAATACTTCTATTTTAAGTGCCATCAAAGATTTTCAGCAGTACTTGATGTAAAACCTTTATCTAATAAAGGATTGCGTTGGAATTTTCGTTTTCTATCAGGAATTAAACACATCTATTTTATTACGATATAATTTAAGATATGAATTTGACATTTTAAGGATTTACAAAAAAAGCATTTTCATGTTCGGTTTCTCTACAGAAGTTTTGTTTTCTGCAGAATCCGTAATATTAGAGTTAGTTGTAGTAGAATCAGACGGTTGGTCGGTTGAGATAGGATTATGTTGGTTGGACGGTTCAAGAGTTGAGATAGGATTATGTTGGTTGGACGGTTCAAGAGTTGGAGCCAACGAGTTTGTATAATTAACCTAAAACGTCATAAAATAAAATAAAATAAATCATTTAAAATGAAAGTAGTGATAAGAAAACATAGTTTTTGGAAAGGAATTGCCACAAACTTAAATGTTATAAATCCTATATCATTGCAACTTGATGGTGTAAACCTTTGATATCTAAAACTTAGAAGATTTGATCTAACAGCATGCGGAGTTTAAAATATCTAAGGTCTTAGAAATTGGGTTGCAAATATATGGGAATTAGAAAATCAGAGTTTGTGTCAAAGACTCAATTTCGTTTTATCAGAGAGATGAAGAAAAAAACTCAAAATCTACAGAATACAAATTTTTATTTATTGAAATTGCAGTTAGTTATGAAGAAAAACACTTAATCCCGTTGTTTTCAATAAAAGGTATTCTTGAATTTTTTACCGATTTGTTAAACGTAAAATAATGTTAAAAAGTCTAACAAAGATGTTATCAAAGATGTTATATTATTTTTTTTAATAAAGCAAACAATTACAGTACCAAACTATTGTTCTGAGAAATGAAAGCGGGAACTTTGATGAGTTTAACGAGCTCCCTGAGAACAGTTTCCTGACAAACCACCCAGCTGATATACCAGCTTCGTCCTGTATCTCCGAAATACATCTTGGAGGTTGTCAGCCTTAACACAATCTTATTCTTATGTACAGGGTTACCCACAAAGGATGAGACTTCAGAGAAGATTGTACGAAATTAAAACTGTCTGTTTCCTTAGATAAATGGTCCCACGCGGCTCTGAACTTGTTTCTTTCTCTGGAAAATCATGAAATAAGCAATTGAAAGAATATATTTGATCCAGAAGGCTTTATTTAAACCTTGGGAACGTTGTATTTAAGGATTTCAAGTCGTCTTACAGTCTTATGCTTTTTGGGCAACCCTGCAGTGTATTTGCCGATCTGGGTTAAATAGGATAAGTGACTTTTTTGCCGAGAAAAAAATGAAAAATTAGGCTGGGTAGAACGGAAACCCGAGAAAACAATGAAAAATTAGGCTGGGTAGAACGGAAACCCGAGAAAACAATGAAAAATAAGGCTGGATAGAACGGAAACCCGAGAAAACAATGAAAAATATGGCTGAGCAGAACGGAAACCCGAGAAAACAATGAAAAATAAGGCTGGGTAGAACGGAAACCCGAGAAAACAATGAAAAATAAGGCTGGATAGAACGGAAACCCGAGAAAACAATGAAAAATAAGGCTGGAAAGAACGGAAACCCGAGAAAACAATGACAAATAAGGCTGGGTATAGAACGGAAACCCGTGCAAAGATTGATGACTGTAATCTAGCTAGGCAGAATATGTTTAAATACATTTTAGAACGTCGCATTAGTCGGTCAATAAGGGAATCATGAAACTATTAAATCAATTTTCTATATTAAATCCATCAATTTTCTATATTTTTCGTTGCAGAGTCTAAATGTTCGTTGGCGTACCTAATGTTTTTTGATATGCTTTATAGATGGTTATGTTTCTAGTGAACTGAAGTTGCAAGTTTAGGGATTTTTGGCAAGATTTTGTAGGAAACAGAGTCGGATTTTTCTACATGATAAAAAATTGCCATTTTTTGAAGAAATATAGTCGAACCAGAATCAGATTTCATTATTGTTTATTGCTGGGTACTTCTGCTACTTAAAGGGTCTAATGGAAAAGAATAATGAATTTCTTACCTGAAAACGGAATGAAAGTTTCTGAACTGATAGTACTTATAGCTGGTGAACATACAGTCCTCACCCTAAACACCTTACAATGGGTCACGGAATCTCCCTAGAGGGGAATAATTCATTAGGTGTACTATCCCGGTTTTCCTTTTATAGTCTGTATGTGTACTGTATTGCTTGCTCTAGCAAAAAGTCGGCCCGGTACTTGAAATAAACCAGATTTTTCAGAATTAGAGGTTGGTACTTTACATCAACATATGCTGTTCAAGACACGGTTTTGGAATTCTAAAATTGTTATGTTTTATATACAGGGTGAGTAAAAAAACAGGGATTATAGATGTTTTTAGAAAAAAGGAATTGAGTTTTTGCCACAAACTCAAATATTTTAACCTCTATATCTTTAGAACCCGATGTTTTAAACCTTTGATATTTCAAACTCAGATAATTTGATTTAACAGAATTTATAATTTAAAATATCAAAGGTCTACAACATTCTGTTCCAAATATAAAGTGATCATAAAATATTGCTTCTGATGTGTTTTGATTATATTCGATATACTGCACGTATTAGATAAACATGTATTTTGTACATACAGAAAAGAACTATGGTTCTAATCCAAAGAAGACGTCTTCGCATGTTTTGGTATCTTGGAGTATACCTGAGATATATATCCCGAACCCAATCAAAATCAAGGTTCTGAATAACCGGCCAATCCAGAGCTATATTTCTCACCACGACAGGACGAAGTGTTCTGGAGTATCTGAAATAGATAAATAGGTTAGTTGAAAAGGAGTTGACTGCTGCAGACCAGAAGAGTACTCAAACAAAACCAGTAATGCGAATTGAAGCCAGTATATTTTAATAACCAGAAAAAAGTGGAATGAAAGTCGTCTTCGTCCAATGTCGCTTAATCTACAGGGTTACCCACAAAGGATGAGACTGTAAAGACGACCTGAAACTCTTGAAATATGAATATCAGGGTTGAAATATATATTATGCCTAGTTTATTAATGATTTTATTAAGATTTTACAGTTGCAATCATCATTATAAGGAAACAGACAGTAGAATTTTCATACAGTCGTCTCTGATGTCTCGTCCTTTGTGGGTAACCCTGTATATATTAAAACTCTTCGCTTGTATTTTCTCCCTATAGCTGGCCAACGGCTGGACCAAATTCGCTGAACATTTTTCTGAATTGTTTTTAATCTATATATATAATATATTTATATGATTTGCAACTATGATGGTGGGTTTATCTCTGAACATGTTTGTTTAGCACTTTTTTGAGTTTAAACAATTTCAAACGATAAAATCCATAGCGACGTTTCTAATTTTAAGATTGACGGTTTTCAATCTGCTTTATTTTGGTGATCACTCTAGGAAGATTGAAAAACAACTTTTTATCAAATCGTTGTAGCTTGTCGTTCTATATGTTTATTTCTTCAACCAAAGTCCGACGTTTTTTTATAAATGTACCCATCCGACGTTTGTACTGGTCCGACGTTTGTACTAGTCCTACGTTTGTACTAGTCCGACGTTTGTACCAGTCCGTCGTTTGTACCAGTCCGACGTTTGTACCAGTCCGACGTTTGTAAGTCCGACGTTTTTACTGTCCGACCTTTGTGGGTCCGACGTTTGTACTGGTACCTAATGCTTAATTGTTTTGAGAGAAAATTTTCACAGTATTTGAAAACACTGGTATAGTCACTAAAATATAATTTTATTCATCCCGGATCTGGAATCGATCTAAATATAGTTGACTTATTGATAATAAATGTAGTTTTTATTACCTAATCTTTGAAAAATTTCAAACAACGTTTAATGGGAACCATGGAAATGTAAAATAGGAAGACGACATTTTAGAAAATTTGAGGTTTGTATAAAGCGAAAAGTTTTATAAGTAGCTTGAAAATCAATTTATTAAGTGAAATAGATCTGTGTACCCTGAACAATGGATGTATTTTATGCTCACATGGACTGCACTATTTAAATCTTCCTAATCAACAGTTTTATGGGTCTCCATGTCTTTGTCTAAAAGCCGTATTTGCTTTTTTTTCGTTATCTTAGTTAGCATTTATTATTCTATTCTGGTTTACTTTTGATTGAAGTATTCCTCAGTTAGATTTTGGTGGACAATATCATCAAAACCCTTTATCTGTTCACATACACTACAGTTCTCCAATCCTCTTAATAGAATTTAGAATTATAATAATTATTTTTGTAAAGAAAATTGAGTCTTTGTCACAAACTCTAATTTTCTAATTCCTATATCTTTGAAACCCAATGTCGTAGACCTTAGATACTTCAAACTATAAATTCTGGCAGATCAAATAATTTAAATTTGAAAATTATTAGAAAATAAAAAAAATATTTGAGTTTGTAACTCAATTCCTTCAATAATTTTGTTAATTCTTTCTTAATATTTTACCTGCATATATTGTTGGTTTGGTAAGGAACCAAAAAGTCCATTATACAGTTATTGGTAGAGTTATATCTTTTACAGGAACAAGTTCATTTATAATTATATTACCCGCACTACTACTATCTGGGAAATTCGTTTGATTTATGAAAAAGTCTCTTTAATTATCTTGCAGGACAGGTCTCACATCTATGAAATGACCTGTTTATAAAATGTCCGCTCAATAATATGTCCATCTATGAAATCTGTTTCTGTGAAACGACCATTACCTGAGAGACAAAAGATTACCGACCACAGAAACGGATTAAAGTCAATACACCACAAAATTTCCTCTGGTTTCTGATCTTCTGTTTGTTTAAGATCAAGCTCAGGATCTTTTTCAAACTCATGTTCTGCTCCAGAGTTTTTCCTTCTTCTCAAACCAAACATGGTTTTCAATTAATCTGCAAATCCCTAATTAAATATATTATATTTGAAATAGTTTTTTCTCCTTTTTTAAATGCTTGAAGATTTAAATAAATAAAAAGTTTTTTTTCTTTTGTAATGACGACATATCTGTAGTGTTTAAAGGGAGATGTTGGGTTGAATCACCGTAGTTATCTACTTTGCTTGTCTGTTTGTTTGTTTGTATTCAATAAACCTCAAAACGGCTGAACCGGCTGAACCACATTTTTTGTGGGACCTCACATGATACCAGAGAAGGTTTATGGATGGTCAGAATTTAAAATATTTTATTTTTCAAAATCCACAAAAAATTGATGAATCCGCGAAATGTTTTTCTTATTTTTTGATAATTTAAAAAGAGAAAATGCCGCAGATAGAGCTATAATTAAAAGTTAAAATCGCCCTGGTAGCCTATAGTACATACTAGTATAATATAAGATGTAATATAAGCATATTTTCTTGTCTGTTTGTTTGTGTCCAATAAACGTCAAAACGGCTGAATTGATCCGACTCAATTTTTTTGTGGAACTTTACATGACCCAGGAAGGGTTAATGAATGGTCAGAATTAAAAAAATTGCCTTAAAAATCTAGATTTTTTTAAATCCACGAGAAAAAAAAAACAATATTGTTTGATGATTTAAGAGGAGAAAATCCTGCATAATTAAAAGTTAAAAGCGAAAATTTTCTTTTTAACTAAAGAATTTCAGTTTAAAGCTTTACAAAAAAAATAATGAAAACCCCTACAAGATTACAGAATTTCAATGAGACGCAATCGCTTTATCACTGCACTCTGCCGTGATTTCGTAAAGGTAAGTTTTTCTTAGCTGACTTTGAACAATCTTGTGTTCTAATCTGACTAAATGTTGAATTTGAATCTCAATTAGCTTTCTTTGAATAGATTGAAACCTGAGTTCTTTGCTTGATTTTCTTGTTTATATTTTCAGATTAATTCGGAGGAGTTGAAAAGAAGGAAATAAATCTCTAGAATTCTAGAATTCTAAAATATATAATATTAAAACTGTTGAACAAAATGTCTACGTCTATGTCTTTTTTGTTTTGTTTTCTGACCTAAGGATTTTCTGACCTATAACTTTATTAGCTCTTAAAATAGGTTAGATTCGTGAAGTTGGTTGGTGGGTGGGTTAGATGTAGTTATAATCATTAATGGGGGGTCGAAATAAATCCATAAAAAAATAGGAGGAGTTAAAACTACTCAATAATCAGTTCGGATACCCTTTAGGTCTGTTTTCTTTAGGTCAGTTTTCATAGCATCGGCGTACATGTATCCTGTTATATAAAGGCCGTGGATATTTATGTCAAACTTGTTTACCTCTTCAATATGAAAAAATGTATTCTTATTCGTGCGTTCTTAATAGAAGCTTCCCAAAAGTGAATTTCTCTTTAGTGCTTCCTCAATGTGCGTCTTTGATACAACTCTGTAGCTTTAAGGAACTGTAATTGCGTAATTTCGGGTAATCCTTCATGCAAAGCTAGAGGACAATGCCCGATTATCAACGGTTTGAAACCTTTGATTGTTGATCGAGTAGAGAGATCTGTGTGTGTAAATATGTAACATAGCTGTTGAATTGTTCTAAAACCCGGTATACGCTGTGTACAGTGTGATTAAGAAGGATATTTTAGATATCCTTGATCAGTCAAAGCTTTAAAAGGGTACTGTTGTGAATCGGGGAAGTCCCCTATTTTTGAAAATGAATTGAGATATTATAATAAATTTAGTGAGAATATTTTCATAAAGAGCTTTTCTTCGATAGCTGATAAAGATAAGAGACGAGTGGAATCGTCTGATGTTTATTGATACTCCCTGCTCCGACTCCAATCTACATAAGAAAAGAGTTAAGATGAAAATCTGCCAAGATTTAATAAGATCGTGCTAAGGTGGAGATTAAGTAGAGAGACGGGATACAGTTACAGTTTATAATTCTTTAAATGATTTACTGGTCGGAACTATATGCACTAAGTAGAATAGTGTAGATTTTAGTATACATATTTTTAGATAAAAGGTTTATCATCAATGCAATAATTTATATTCTGTTATAAACTGAGTATTTTTACCCTGTCAATTATAAAATGCGATATCCAGAGAAAAGAGTATTAGTTTGTAAACTTTTATATTGTTTAATGTAATTTTGCTTTAGACAAATATAAATGACGAATATATATGCTATGAATTGATATTTTTTTCAAATTCACGAAAACCAGAAGGAAAAGAAGATTTAAGAATTAAGATTTTAGTACTGATATTCAGAAAAAACAAGAAAATTCTTATCTGCAAACAAAGTAAACAATTGTCCGTCTACACTGTGTTCATCTTTCAGAAACATTTTAACGTTTCCTATGTGATGGCTTTTGAAATCAGGTATTACAATGCTTACTCTTACAAAGACGATCTCGAATTCGTCACTTAATTCACATGTTTATTGTTTATTGGGATCACACTGAATATATAATTTCATGTTTGATATATTGTAGACTAAATTTTGATGATTTTACATTCTTTGAATCAGATTCAAGCTTTTAGGCTTTGAAAAGTGTAACACTTTTTTAGGTTAAAAATTGTATAAATGTCATCAAACAAAATACTTTTTTTGGAGGGGTCGTCTTTGATTTATTTTTAAAATTTTAAAAATCTGAAATTAGATGACACTATGTCTTATCCACCATATCAATTAAGAATTGTTAAAATGGTTTGATCCTGAGTAGTCTACTCGGATCTACTGAAAATCTATATATCGTTTATACGCTGTCTACTGGAGTATGCCTGTGTGGTCTGGCACTCCACTCTGACGGTCAACCAGACCTGCGCACTCTAACGAGTGCAGAAAACCTGTCTTAGGGTAATACTTGGTCAAGAATATATAGGATATGAGTCTGCACTTGAAGTGTCTAACCTTGAAACACTAGAAGTTCGTCGAAAAAAACTTTGTGTATCGTTTGGGAAAAAATGTCTGTTAAACTCAAAGCACAGATCCCTGTTTCCGAGAAATATTCCTCTCCACAACCATAACCTTAGAGAACAGAATCTGTTCAAAGTTGTTTAAGCCAGGACGGAGAGGTTAAAGAGATCATCTTTACCTTAAACCAAAGATTACTGAATAGCAATTAGATAATAGTAATAGATAAACATATATATGCTTTTACCAATATGACAAATTTAAAATGTATAATCTTGTTTTATATGAATGTTAATCCTCGGATTTTTATCATAATAAACTCTTTTTTATTTATTTATCTATTTCTTTAAGGTTTGATGTGTTAAATGTGTATACTACTAAACATGACAGTTGAAAAACAGCTAAAATGTCGTCTTTTATCTTTGACGGCTATTGAGAGACGAATATCCGACCGATTCGTTATACATTTTGCAGGTGTGATTCCACATGTGGAAAGCACATATTGAGAGACAAATATCCGACCGATTCGTTATACATTTTGTAGGTGTGATTTCACATGTGGAAAGCACATATTGAGAGACGAATATCCGACCGATTCGTTATACATTTTGTAGGTGTGATTTCACATGTGGAAAGCACATATTGAGAGANATAATGTCATCGTTTCAAAACCATTGTTTTGTTTGGAATCCTCTCAACTTCAGAGATGAATTATTGATTACTTGCACTTATAAACAAAAACATTTTTATCATTCTTTATTGGAAGACATTAATATTACAAAATGAAAATACATAGTTTAGGAAATATGTAAATTCTAAAAATGCGTATTGTATCAAAAATCTACATTTATACTGATAAAATCAGAATATTTTATTTATAATAAGCTGCATTTGGAACTGCTGAGTAATGATATGGAGCTGTATATTGGGAGTATTGGAGCTGGCTGTTGGAGAAGGTTGGGATAATATTTTGAATATATGTCTGAGGGTTGACATTGCTCTGGAGTTGAGGTTGGAGATATTGTGAGAAAAATTCTGGAAACCTATATTGTGAATATCTGTTATTGTACGCCATGGCTCTGAGTTCACAGCTCGGATCAGGTGCAGAGTAATCTCGGAGAACTCGGTTGATTGTTTTCAGGAGAGGATAAGTTTCACATCCGCATCGATTGGTAAAATCGTCCAAGTCTAAAGCCCAGATCATGCCTCCTCCAAACCCGTTATCCTTGATAAACTGGGACTTCCGTCGGATCATAGTTATATCATCATATCCGACCCATTGGTCACCATTAAAGGCAACAGGACCAAGTCTATTCTCAGGATCTTGAACTATTGTCCAAGCTGAATTCCGAACCTTCTCACAGATCTCATAGTATGCCAGGAACCCTGCAGCTCGAGTAAACTCTCCTGCCTCTCCTTTTCCTATTGCTGGAGAGTTAAGTCCTGTCTGCGAAGAGTCGGATAGACTGAAAGCCTGTCCGTACATTGGCATTCCCATCACTAGTTTGGATTTACTGGCTCCTAGGGTTACCCAATAGTTCATGGTGAAGTTCGCGTTGAAGTAGGAGTAATCATCCTCAGGATGGGCATACAGAGGAGCAACGTGACCAGTCTTCTTATCCCAGTGTCCGTGGTAGTCGTAGGTCATAACATTAATGATATCTAGGTATTGGTTTAAAGCTGGCACATCATACCCAGCATCAATTACAGTCTTACTGGGACTAACGGCAGCAGATAATACCCAACCTCGAGGTTTAAACTCGGCACTCAGTTCCTTCACAAACGCAGCAAAGGATGCTTTGTCTGACTCTGGACCTAGACTACAGTCTACCTGCCAGCATTTAGGATACTCCCAGTCAAGATCTAATCCTTGGAATCCATATTTCTCGATAAATTTTACAGCCTCGGAGATGAATTTACTCCTAGAGCTTGGATTATTTACAAGCTTGCTGTATTTATCTCCTTCTGAGTCATTCCAACCACCTAGAGCTATGGACACAGTAATACCTTTAGATTTCAACGCTGCAACACTAGAGAAGAACTTGTTGTCAATATCTGCCCAGGTATCATGAGGAACCATTATTAAACTAAAGAGAAAACATGTTAAGTTCTAATATATTTTGTTTATAATAAAAAAAATACTAACTTGTTAGGATCCAGGACAGCAAATCCGTAGTTGATGTGCGTACAGAGTTCTGGATCAATATTTTCAGGTTTATATTTTCCAACTCCTTGTCTATACCAGGCCCAGTTAGTGAAATAACAGACGACCTTCATCCCAGTATTTGAAGATGTTCCATCCAGTGTTGGTTTTACAGAAGAGGGCGGAGCTTCAACCTCGACTATTTCGTTTGAAATATCATTATCAACCTCCACTACTTCAGGAATCTGATTTAATCCTCCAGACGAAGAACAACTTGTGGATTCAGGCCAATCACAGCGATCCTAAAATTATATTTGTAGAATATTTTCTTTAACATTTGCGACAGTATTTTTTAATAAAAACTTACTCTATTCCAATGAAGTCCACTTGGACACTTTTGAAGTTGATATTCTCCGTTATTGCAGACATAATACTCTGAACAATCAGATTCAGACGGAGCAAAATTTCCTTTGTTGCATCCAGAATACGGACTGGGACTTAGCTCAATATCTCCAATTCTATAGTTTCCGCTCATATCACAGTTTGCCTCATCCTTGGCTCCCTTCAGCTCACGGTTTATTGTATTCAGAAGTGGATTTGACTCACAACCGCAGGAATTCCTAACAAATCAATAAATACAAATTATATTTCAAATCTTTTTAGAGATAGAATCTTTCTAAATTTTGTTTGTGAATACCTGAAATCGTCCAAGTCAAGAGCCCAGATCATGGCACCACCAAGTTTCATATTTTTCAGGTACTGAGTCTTATGCTTTATCATTGCTGTATCATCAAATGAAACCCATTGTGTTCCCTTATAAGCATATGGTCCCATTGTTCCTGTTGGATCCTGGATAACCTTCCATCCCTGGGTTTGTATATTGTGACAGATCTCATAGTAAGCCAGGAACCCTCTAGCTCTAGTAAATGGTCCAGCAGTTCCTCCACCATAGGATTTAGAGTTGAGACTGTTGTCTGCAGCTGAAGCAAGAGTAAAGGACTGTCCGTACATTGGCATTCCTAGGATAAGCTTCTTTCTATCCAACCCTCCAGACAACCAATAGTTTACTGTGTAGTTCTAAAAATAAGAAGATTTAGAATTATATTTATGGATCTTCTTTGGTTATTCAAACCGAAAATGTTCGACAAAGGACCCTCAATAAACATGGGAATTAAAGAAAGAATAAAAGTAATACCGTTATTTTCACCCATTACCACAAAACACATTCATATTCAGACTTTGCTACATTTGGATAAAGTGATAAAACGTACCACGTTGAAGAAAATATTATCATCTTCAGAATGCTGATACATTGGAGCAACATGTCCAGTTTTCTTATCCCACTGTCCGTGATAATCATATGTCATCACGCTCACATAATCCAGGTACTTGGATAGTTCAGGAACATCGTATCCTGCATCAATAACCTTGTTACTCGGGGATACTGCAGCAGTCACCAAGAGTCCTTCAGGTTTAAAAGCAGCGGAGAGTTCTCTGATCCAGGCTGAGAAACCGTCCTTGTCAGATTTTGGTCCCAGATCACAGTCTACCTGCCAGCAACGGGGATACTCCCAGTCCAGATCTAACCCATCAAAATTATTCTTCTTAATGAATACCAGAGCATGATCCACAAACTTTTTTCGTTTCTCCGGGTCATTTACAAGCTTACTATACTTGTCTCCTGCAGAGTCGTTCCAACCTCCCAGAGCCAACAATACCTTCTTCTTTGCGCTCTTCAGAGCAGTTACTTTCTTGTAGAATTCTGAAAAATAAGAATATGTAAGACCTGCTTAATAGTTTTTCATATATTTTTAACTCACCATTATCAAAATCCGCCCATGAGTCATGAGCCCTGATGAGATGAGTTCTAGGATCTAAAACTGCAAATCCATAAACAATATGAGTACACAGCTCTTCATCAATATCCTCAGGTTTATACTTTCCTGCTCCAGGTCTATACCAAGCCCAGTTTGTGAAGTAGCAGACAACCTACACATGAGATCTGTCAGCACTTAAACTTAAAAGTATCCATAATCTTAAAGTAGCTTCTAAATGATAATGACAAGTCGGATCCATCTCACATTAAAAAATTATTCTTTTTTTGTTAAAAACTGAGCAACAAATTTTAAGATCTGCAAATAAAAAAAATCTTATATTAATTTTAGGATAAATCAAAAACCAACTGATCAATTAAAAATCAAAATTTTGAAAACGATTATTACAAACATAGGCTTTTTACTCTATATTCTAATAAAGTTTGTTTTTAGAAATGATTGCCCGATGGTTTAATACAATAATAGTCACTAGGATTACATAAAAAAATTGTTTGTTTTATTCTAAAAGCAAGTTTACCAACCTTATACTCTGAGTCCTCCTCTTTAGTTCTAGTTGGAGAAGTTGTGGTCGTAGTAAGCTTTGTGGCAGGTGAATTCATTGGTGGAGTTACAGATGCACTCTCTGTAGTCGTGGTATCCAATTCAACAGATCGAGTTCCTTCATAATCTCCCTTCTTGGGCCCAAGAACTTTCTGTATGGCCTTCATTAGAGGATGTGGTCCTTCTCCACAAACATTTCTGAAGTCGTCAAGGTCTAGGGCCCAAACCATGCCACCTCCCAACCCCATCTCTCGGACAAATTCAGACTTTCTCCGGATGGTGTCAACATCGTCATATCCAACCCATTGTCTGCCCTTGTAAGCATAAGGACCCATCCTACCTTCAGGATCTTTAACAACAGTCCATCCCCCTTTCTTTAAATCGGAACAGATTTCATAGTAGGCTAGGAACCCAGCAGCACGTGTAAACTCTCCAGCCTGTCCTTTCTGTCCAGCCGGAGCATTCAATCCGTTCTTCTTAGGATCATCCAGGGTAAATGCTTGGCCGTATAGTGGCATACCTAGAACTAGTTTAGTGGCAGGTGCTCCAGACTCAATCCAGTAGTTGATTGTGTAGTTCTACAACAAATATATCAAATAGAATTTAAATCTTGAATAAAAAAGATGAAAACGTTACCGTGTTAAAGTAGAAAAACTCATCATCAGGATGTGAATAAAAGGGAGCAACATGACCGGTTCTTTTATCCCAATGACCGTGGTAATCATATGTCATGACCGCAATCCAATCCAGATCCTGTGCAATACTAGGAACATCGTATCCTACATCTATAATCTTTTTGCTTGGTGAAACGGCAGCAGAGAGGAGAAGACCACGAGGTTTAAACGCTCCCTTGAGTTCTCTGACCCAAGCAGCAAATGAATCCTTATCCTTGTACCTTTCCTCTTTGCATTCAGTCTAAATGTTAACAAAATTATGGATAAATGAAGTATTGTAAACTGAATTTCTATAAAAATAGAATCTTAAAAATTCAAACCTGCCAGCATCCTGGATACTCCCAATCAAGGTCCAACCCGTCAAAGTTATATTTCTCGATGAATTTTACAACGTTCTCGATGAACCTGGCCCTGGCTGAGGGATTGTTGACTAACCTACTGTATTTATCTCCCTCGCTATCATTCCAACCTCCAATGGCAACTGTTACCTTGATCCCGTACTTTTTGAATTCAGTAACTTTACCGTAGAAATCATTATCTATGTCGGCCCATGAATCGTGAGGTTTCATAAGAAGGGTTGAGTAATCTAGAACAGCAAACCCGTAAACAATATGTGTGCAAATAGTGGGGTCAATATCTTCAGGTTTATATTTTCCTGCTCCAGGTCTGTACCAGGCCCAATTTGTGAAGTAGCAGACAACCTTGAAATCCCCAGATAAAGGTCCCTGCAGGGGAACTGCTTCTGTGGGTCCAGTTGGTCGCTGAGTTGTTGGTTTCGGTGTTGGAGGTTTCCATTGTCCAGAGTTGTCTCCGGACCAGTCTCCATTGTCCCAACTATTATCTCCGTTGTCCCAGCTGTTGTCTGCATTGTCCCAGATGTTATCTCCACTGTCCCAAGATGACGTTGTGGTGGTTGGTGCAGCTGATGTTGTGCCCTGAGCTGAGTCCGATGTTGTGCATCCAGCAGCTTCAGGATGATTACAGGTTTCCATGTTTCTATCCCAGTGAGTTCCTTGTTGACAGCTGAGCTGAATATACTCAGAGTGTACACACCACAGATAGGATGCACAGTCTGTTGGATGAGGGATTCGAGATCCTTCCTGACATGTTCCATCTCTCTCCAGGGTGATATATGTAACACATCCTGCTGCCTCAGGCCAGTCACAGATACCCTTAGTAGAGCTGAAGTGAAGTCCTGGACTACAGGATTGTTTGATCTGCTCGTTATTGTTGCATTGGTAGAACGAGGAACAATCTCCAGGTATCTGAGATAACTTCCCAGGATTTGAACATGGAAGACCAGGGAGAGTCAGCATTGCCTGGTCATCTGTTTCATCAACAACAACAACAACTTCATCAACATTTTTGTCTAGAAAAGAAAAAAATGATATTACAAAATTTCTAATTACAAAGGAATTAATTCAGCCTTTGTCACAATCTCTGATTTTCTAATCCATATAACTTTTCAACCCAATGTCGTAGACCTCACATAATAGATATTTCAAACTATGGATTTTGTTAGACTCTTAAAACATTAAACTAAATGGTTGTATTTTTGATATTTTATCCCACCTGAGATAGATCCACAGCTCACATTGTCAGACCAGTCGCAAATGAGGTTCTCTGCATCCCAAGATAAACCCCCAGAACAGGAATGAAGTTGCTTCTTCCCGTTTATGCATCGATAGTATTTCTGACAGTCCTGAGGATGCTCTATATGTTCTCCTTCTGTGCACTCTGCTGGACCATCTGTATCCGTACTGGATGTTGTACTAGCAGCTGCTGTACTAGACGTGGTTGGTTTAGGAGTGCTAGGACTGGAAGTACTGGATGGTTTTCTATTAGATCCGTCATCCCAGGCTTCAGTGGTTTCCTGAGGTCTAGGTGCTGGTGTTACTGGTGGAGCAGGTCTAGAACAACCTGGTTCAGGTCCTGGAGTTCCAAGGACGACGCTGCTAACACTGTTAAGGAGAGGATGTGCACCCAGGCAACAAAGGTTGTTAAAATCATCAAGATCCAGAGTTGAGATTGAAACCCCCGCGAATCCATTATTCATAGCAAACTCTGCTTTTCTCCGCACAGATTGAACTGAATCAAAACCGACCCATTGATTACCAACAGTTTCATATGCAAAAGGATCCTGCCTTCCATCTTGTTCTTCACTCTGTGTCCAACCCTCTTTAATCTTTAGACAGATCTCATTGAACCCAAGCATACCAGGCTGTTTTGTCCATTGTCCAGGAGCTCCAGGTCCCTTGCTATCTACTCCATATCCAACTCCTCCGGTTTTAGTGAGGAAAGATTGACCATAAAATGGGATTCCAACAACAAGCTTAGACTTATCAGCACCCAGGGATATGTATTTGTTCATCAGTCCCTCCTAGAAATAAAAAAGTTATTTCAAGGCATACACCTTAACATTAGCATTATGACATATGTGTTCTTGTCTTACCACTGATACAGAGGTTGGGTCGGTTAGCGGAGCATGATGCATGGTTTTATCCTCCCAGAAACCATGGAGGTCATATGACATGATGTTTAGGAAATCAAGGTTCTCTGATAAACTTGCAATGTCGTACGCTTTGTCTATAACCTGCTGGTACCCTGAGAGGGTTGCCCCGATAGTATATCTTTTTCCAAATTCTCTTTTAAGATCTTGAGCCAGATTTGAAAACCCTGCTCTATCGGAGTCTGGGCCCTTGGTGCAGTCACTTTGCCAGCATACCGGAAAATGCCATTCGATGACCATTCCATCAAAACGGTATTTTTTCAGAAACTGCATGGATCCACGAACAAACTTATTTCTGAGATCTTGGCTGTTGACAAGGGTAGAGTATTTATTTCCTGCAGAGTCTGCCCAACCTCCGACAGAGATTAGAACTTTGGCGTTTGGGTTCCTTGTCTTCACAGTATCATGAACCCTGGAGAAATAATCCTGATCCAGGTCTGTGAGAGGACCGCTAGACTCCGGGACAAATTTCTCCTCGTCCAGTTTAGCGAAAGCATACACAACATGAGTACAATGTTTAGATGGAATATTCTCTGGAACGTATTTTCCGTCTCCTTCTCTAATTCCGGCCCAGTTGGAGAAATAACAGATTACTTTCTTACTTTCCTCAGTGTTGTAAAGGATTAATGGAGACGATTTGATATAAGGAAATTCTTGGAAGGCATAGCCTGGAGACACTCTAAACAAGATTATATTAAATGGTTATGAGTAGCTAAATTCTAAATATTATTTTGTAATTAGAAGAGATGCTAAATTAAAACTTAATTTTTAAAAAATCTACCTGAAAGGAGTGCATAACTTTGACACTGGATCATAGAATAGTCCAAATGCACCGCAAAACTGACGAGTTTGTGCCAGGGTTGGAATAGAACAAGAGACAGCTTCAGGCCAGTTACAAGCTCCGATAGAAGGATCATAGTGTAAACCATCAGGACAACTGAACTTAAACGCCTTTAAAAAAACTATTTTAGGTTATTTTTAATTATAGTTAAAACTAATAATAGTTTTTTGTAGGAAATTATTAATGGCCTCAAAATCAAATTTGCAAATCGCTGAAATTTGTGTAAACCCTTGATATTTCTGTCTAGCAGAATTAGTAGTTTGAAATATCTGGGTTCAAAGATATAAGGAATAGAAAATTTTGTTCGGTTGAAAAATAATCTGTTTCTAACCCCACCTTATCTATAATATATTATTGTAACCTGTCCGTCCTGAGTACAGGTAAAGTAGTCTGAGCAGCTAGTACTGCTAGGGAAGGATCCAGGTCCAGCACAGATAAAGTTTTCAGCTCCACCAAGAGCACTATTATCCTCTTCAATCTCCGCTGTAACTGCTGCAATCACACCGGAGTCTTCGTCAGGTTGAAATAATCCAAAATCTTTCTCATCTGTCTCCGGGACCTCGCCTCCTTTAGCTAAACAGTTTTTTAAAACTATGATAAACCCAAATTCAAGGATAATAATGGGCACCTCTAAAAGCTCTCTTTAATTATAATAAAATGTTATTTCTATGAAAGATTGTTTAATTTATGAGCTTTCAAAAATGTTTTCTCCTGTCTTTGTAAAAGACGATGGATAATTTGAAAATCTTGGTTTTAAATTTTAGTGATTGTCTTTTCACCGATTAACAACAGTTCTTTTAAACAATAATTAAAATGTCTATCTTACTTCTGGATTTTTACGGCGAAAACAAGCAAGGAACTAACCAAGGTTGTATTTCTTAGGATTAAAAAAAAATTCGGCAACTATGTTGTTAGATAAAAGAATAAATTATGAAAAAAAAACAATATAAACTATGCGAAATAAACAAAAACTTAATCCTTATGAATCTTATCAAGTTAACTTACGTCTAAGAATAAGATTCATGTTTGTGAGTAGAGGAGATTTTGTCCCGCAGTCTCCTCTGTAATCATCCAGATCGATTGCCCAGATCATTGCTCCTCCAAGACCTTTAGAACGGACATATTTCATCTTCCGTCTCACGCTCTCAACCTTGTCATATCCGACCCATTGGTCGCCCTAGACAAAAAAATCATTAAAAAATGGAGTAAAAGAAAATATCTAAATTCAGATCGCTTTGTACCATAAATCAAAACATGATTTTTCTTTTTTAAGTTGTTGTTGAATCTAATTACCTTGTATATATATGGGTTTCCATCTGAATCTGTTTCCTCAGTCCAACCTCCATCTTTTATCATCCTACAGATCTCATAGTAAGCCAGGAATCCAGGCTCATCTGTAAATTCTCCTGGTTTACCTGGACCTGAGCTCTTAGAACCTGGAGACTTAGAATTCTCCGAGCTGAGAGTAAATGATCTTCCATAGAAAGGTGTTCCAAGGAGTAATTTATGGAGAGGTGCTCCCTTAGATTTCCAATATCCCAATCCTGCAGCCTGGAATACAAAATAAATCGAAACTGAATTAATAAACTTGAAAAAGGGTGTTAACTCCCGCTAGAACCTAAAAAAACGAAGATTTTTTTATTTTGGGATATTTTTAAAAGCTATTTTTAAGCGAATGGTGGGAAAAATCTAATGCTGCATAATTTCGGGATTACCCTTAAAAAGGATATCTCCAAAATCTTAGAAAATGATTTAAAGAGTTTAAAGAGTAATTTTTCTGGTAACGCATGTTATGTATTTTTAATTACCGTATTTAAAGATTTGAACTCCCATGAATCATGTTCTCTAGAGTTGAGAGGAGCATGATGATCCACAAAGTTATCCCAATCCCCGTGCAGGTCGTAGGTCATCACGTTGATGAAGTCCAAGTACTCAGCGATCTTCTTAACTGCGTATCCTTCATCAACTCTAAACTTTGCCGGCGAAACTGCGGCTGAGAGGAGCCAACCTCTGGGTTCAAACTCATCATGAAGCTCAGAAACCAAATTTGCAAAGTTCTCCTTGTCCGACCATTGTCCGTCCCTATCTCCTGCTCCAGGATACTCCCAATCCAGATCCAATCCGTCGAATGAGTGTTCTTCTACAAATTCTACCACAGACTTGATGAATCTAGCTCTGGAGGCTTGGGACGAGGCCATTTCGGAGTAGGTTTTTCCTCCTTCGTTCCAGCCTCCGATAGCAATCATAACCTTGAGTGCAGGATTCTTTAACTTCAGAGCAACTGCGGATTTATAAGATCCTAAACATAGACAGTTATTTATTTATATTGGTGAATTTAAATCAGCTATTTTTTTTTCTTTGTTCAACATTTTTCAACATCTGCATTTTGTACATTTGTTATTCAAAACTGTACAACAAATTGTTTTAGTCAAGAAACCCTGTCATTTTTAACGTGCAAATATTTAAAAAATTTGTAGAGAAAGCGCCAAATCAGTTCCACCCCCAGGCAAAAAGGCGTGTCCAAATCCCGCTTGATGCTGAGTAAAGAAGCTTGAAAGGTCAGACTTTAAAAACAGTAGAGTTGGAAACAGGTTTATTTGCCTAGAGCAGAGGAGAAAGCTAAAGGAAAAACAGGGTGGATAAAATTATGAAAAAGTACATTTCACAAGGTGTTGGAAAAGGCCAAAAACGGAGTTCATGATTGTGAATTGATTAAGGCGTGGAACTAGGTTTACCATTTATTCTGGTTAATTCCGTGTCTTTTGTTATTCAAATAATAATTTGTAAAGTCCACAGAGTTTATTTATTTAATTTCTAAATCTATTAAAATCAAGTTTTTAAAAAATAAAGCCTTTTCCACGCTGTTACTCGATAGTTGAATAACATACATATATTCCGCATTGAAAGAGATTTTAAAAAAGTCTCCCCTTTAAGCGTTGTTCTCTTGTCTGGAGTTGTTTGTTTTTCTCTGATTCTTGATAAAAAAGTTCAAATAATAATAAATATTTGTAGATTTGATGTTTTTCACGAACACCCCCTTTAAAAAAATTTCTTGTCTTAGATTTAAGAGTGCAATATAAAAAATTGACTAAATAAAAAGGTCCCTAGAGGTTTACCTAGCACCAAGAATATTGAGCTCAATCATTTCACCCGTTTTGAGAAACAAATAGACTCGATAAAATAATTGCGTCTTTGCCTCAAATTCAAATTTTCTAATCCCTATATTTTGAAACCTGATGGTGTAAACCTTTGACATTTAAAATTTAGATTATTTAATCTAACATAATTCATAGCTTGAAAAATCTAAGGTTTCAAAGATATCGATATTAAAAAATTAGGTTTGTGGCAAATACTCAATTTCGTAAGATGATTAAAAGATTTTCGATTTTAACCTTTGATAATATCCTCTTCTGTATCTAATGAAATGATGGTAAGATCATCAGGTTGTAGTCCAGCAAAACTATAGATAAGATGAGTACATGAGAACGGATCTATATCTCCTACTCCAAAGTTGTACGGAGCAGTTCTGTACACGGACCATGCTCCGTAGTAGCACACTATCTTGTACTCCTGGTTGCTGCCTAGACAAATTTAAATATACAAGAGAAAATTTAACTACAATTTTTTTTCTATCAAACAAATGATAATCAACACTTCTAGTTGTTCAGGGCGACCCAAAAAAAACGGGATAAGTGTTATTCAGCCTAAAAATCATCTAAACGTAAAAACTTTATATTATGTCACATTTTTGGGTCATTTCAACAGGTTTTCAAGGCTAAAAAACAAATTCAGGGCTATATAACGAATTTTAAATAATCTTACTTTTAGTTAACAGTTCTTCAAGTTGTTCTGTATGTTGTCCATTTTTATGATCAGGGTTAGGGCGAGCCTGTCTAAACGTAGTTTTCTGATTTTTATAATATTTTTTCCTCAAATCTGCCAAAGCTTTTACTTGTGTCCGAGCCCGGTAAAGACGGGCTATGGTCGGATCAGGACGCTTCTCTACAGCAGATCGGAGAGGAATCCTCTTTCCTTCTGCTTTTGGTTCAAAGGAATATTGTTGAAACTGGGATCCACTGTATAGCTTGAAAAACAAGGAGGGGTCTGCAGCTCCAAAATATTTTCCACCTTGATGTTCCCTATTTTCTTGTATACCCTGTGTTGGGTTGAGAGCTCCGTATCGTTTAAGAGACCCCGATTCTACAAAATCTCTATTAAACGGCAGAGCATTATCAGACCGAGAGTAAGTTTGGAATTTTGGTTTTGAGAAGACCACAGTCTCTATAGTATCCGGAGCAGCTTCTACAGACGCTCTACTGAACTTAGCCTGCTGAGTCTCAATGTTTACTTGTAGCTTTGGTTTGATTTGACTTCCGTCCCGACCAAGACTGATATCTGGTGAAAAGCGCTGAACCAACCTATCCTCAATATTCTCGGATTCTCCAAGGGTTTGAACTACTCCAACCAGGAGAGGAATAAATCCCGCAGGGAGCAGGATACTCCGTCTCATGACTAAAATAAATCCTAGATAAGATCTAATTATCAAGTTTTGTATAAAAAAGATTAGCATGTTTAATCTTTGGTTTTATTGGCGGTTTGATCTAAGAAAACTTTCCAGAACAAACAATTTTCCCTTAAAGAATTTCCTATTTCTTGTAATTAAAACAAAAAGTTTTATTGTACGCTTTCAACAAACCTGTTTGGTGTTTTTTGGTAAAAAGATTAACATCTAATCTAGTCCTATAAGTATTGAGTGTAATTATTAAATATGACATTTCAAATAGTAGAGAAAGTAGTGTGTGTGCCTAAAATCAAGTTCTGAGCAGCCTAAAATGTAAAAAGGCCTCTAGGCTCAAAAATCAGTTCAACAACCTGAGGTATTAACGGGTCATGTAACTGGTCGTAGGAAAGGGGGATTCAAATAAGTTTTAGTTCAAGAATTTAAACTTTAAATAATACAATGTACTCCTCTGCAATTAAGTGGGGAGAACCACTTTTCATAATTATATCAGTTTTAGAATTTAAAATTGAGGGAAAAAATTGACGTAAAAGAGAAAAATTTGATATAAAGTTCAAGATTAGAAATTAAAGATTTAAAATATCAGTTTTAGGATTTATAATTTAGGAGGAACCTTAACTATAGAGTTCAGAATTTAGAATTCGATAGAAATATGCATAATTAGGCATAGGATTAAACACAAAAAGATCCAGAAATATGTATTAATGTAGCCTTAGAAATGTACATTTTAAAATTACAACGAGCTTGTTTTGAGCTTTAGCTTAAAAGGATTAATTATCAAAGCTCTAATGAGCATATGAAAATAAATTCATATTTTAAACCCAAAGATGCGATTAAATAAGATTATTGGCATTTGGTTTTTTTGAAAAGAAGATATTTAGTTTATTTTCTAAAAACCTATGTCCTAAAAAGAAAATCCATTAATGATATCCATTTAGGAAATCAAGTTAAAAGAAAAATAAAATAAGAATTTGCGTGCAAAACTAGAAAAAGAAACATTCTGAATTCTAAAATTAAAATCGTGATCCTCCGATCCTTTATTTTTCATCCTTTTCTACTTTTTGATATTAAAGGTTAGAACCGAACACTCCCTACCCAGCCTACTTTAACTCCTCCATCACCTCTCCTCATTCTCTTCTCCCTCCTTCCTTTTTTTCCTGGTCCTCCTTCTCCTCCCTTTCGCTTCCCTCATTACATCTCCTGTAATCCTACCCGCCTTCCTCCTGTTATCCCTCTTCCCCCTTATTACTTTTCCCCTCTCTACACTCTCTTTCTCCTCTTCCTACTGTTTCCCTCTACTTCCTGTTTTAACAGTTCTCCCTGTTCTCTCTGTTCTTATTCTTCTCCTTGTTCTCCACGTTCTACCGGCTCTTCCTGTTCTCCCTGTTCTACTTTTTCTCCCTATTCTCCCTGTTCTCCATGTTCTCCTTGTTCTCCCTATTCTTCGTGTTCTCCCTGTTCTGCTTGTTCTGCTTGTTCTCCTTGTTCTCCTTGTTCTCCCTGTTCTCCCTGTTCTCCATGTTCTCCACGTTCTCCCTGTTCTCTCCATTTTTTCCCTGTTTTTTCTGTTCTCTCTTTACTTCCTGTTCTCTTACCTATCCCTGTTTTCCCTGTTCTTCCTTTCTCTCTGTTCTCCCTCTTTTCCTTGTTTTTCTCCTTGTTCTCCATGTTCTATCTCATATCCCTGTTTTTCCTATTCTTCCTCTTCTCTTAGTTCTCCCCGTTCTTCCTTTCACAGCTTTTTCCTTCTTTCCCCTCGCCCCCCATTTTTTGTAAAGGAATTGAGTCTTTGCCACAAACTCTGATTTTCTAATCACTATATCTTTGGAACCAAATGTTGCAGACCTTAGATATTTCAAACTATGAATTCTGATAGATCAAATAATCTGAGTTTGAAATATCAAAGGTTTACAACATCGAGTTCTAAAGATATTGAGGTTTAAACATTTGATTTTGTTCCAAAGACTCAATTCCATTGTCTTTAAAAATAATAAGAAAACTAAGTTAAAAACATCTTTATCGGTGGATGGGATATTGTTAAAGAGAATGATGCAGTTTTAAATAGTGATTTAATTTTTTTCTTTATATCCATAGTCTAAAAGTAAGCGTTTTTAGTCTGGCATAGAAAGGCAAAAAAAAGTATTTTATTGATGGAGATTTTTTGCTTAAAATAAATCGTTAATATCTGAGTGGTGACATTTAAAGACGTTCTGAGTTGTTACCTATTCCGTCTCCAAACCACAACTGCTTGCTTCCCTCAGCGGTTTAACTGACCTAAACAAATTAGAGAGAAAACTGAGTTTCACATGCATTATATTTTCCAATGTTTTCGAAACAAATTTGTCAACGACCTAAACAAAAAAAGTATACACCATTTTTCTGATTTTGAAAATTTAAATCTCTGTAAATTTTTTTATCCCTGTCTCCTTTCACCCTGCAACTGGTTTAGAATAACTGTCGAACTGGTCTTTCTCTCTCTCTCTGGATATCTATCTATCAGAGCTTTTTAAATAAGACCCGAGCCATTTCTCTGTCTCATAGTTTCAAACATGAAACGAACTCGCGTTTGAAAAACAACTAAATTATCCAACCCTTTCCTAATTCAGATATTTCAGATAGAATTATAATATCTTTCCACAGCTAAAAAGAATATTCTTCAGGACTTTATTGAAATTTTTTGATCGATTATTCAAAATTCAAATATCTGATATCTGAATTTTTCCTTTTTTATATTTTTGTCAAAACTATTTGCAATTATATATGTAATGTGTTTTTACATATTACCATGGGATTAAAGTTGTAATTCTGAGGATTCGTCTTTAATAATAAAGTCGATAATGGATAGTAATAATAATAATCAAATATCCAATATCGAAAGGAAAAGAAAATCACAATATTTTTTTAGCTTCCCGAAAATTGTTTAAGTATCTGTGAATAATGTATCTTGATTCGACGAAGAGTTTGATATTTAGACGATTTTAAGTTTAAAAAACATTTATGTAGAGATAAAACTAGGATTTCCAAACAAGGGTTTAGAACTAGGTTTTCCAAACAAAGGTTTAGAACAAGGGTTTATAAACAAGGTTTTAGAAGTTTCAAAACAAGAATTTAGAACTAGGGTTTCCAAACAAAGGTTTAGAACTAGGGTTTCCAAACAAAGGTTTAGAACTAGGGTTTATAAACAAGGGTTTAGAAGTTTCAAAACAAGAATTTAGAACTAGGGTTTCCAAACAAAGGTTTAGAACTAGGGTTCCCAAACAAATGTTTCGAACCAATGTTTCCAGACAAGGGTTTAGAACTATAGGCTTCCAAACAAGGGTTTAGAACTAGAGGTTTCCAAACAAGGGTTTAGAACTAGGGGTTCCAAAAAAAGGTTTAGAACAAGGGTTTAGAAGTTTCAAAACAAGAATTTAGAACTAGGGTTTCCAAACAAAGGTTTAGAAAGAGGGTTTCCAAACAAGAATTTGTTTCTGTAATACTTGATTTATATCTAAACTAGGGTTTAGGAACTATAAGTTTATGAAATTGGGTTTCTAAACTAGTGTTTCCAAGCTATGGGCTCGAAACTAGGGTTTCTACTTAAAGGTTTCTAAACTTTGCAATAAGTTTTCTTCCAATTTCTACTGTATGAAAGTAAACAAAAATATATATAAATAATTTTATTGGTTCTAGAGGGGGGGGGGGGGGTCTATAGTTAACATTATTTGGTTCAGTTATTTCTAAAAAGTGTGTGCAACTATTGGTTTTCAAACTTAAGATCTCAACGCTTTGATTCCAATCGAACCCTTCTCGGTTTTACACCACGCCGAGAAAGTAAGAAATCAAAAGGGTTGTTTCACACACTTTAACTATTTCAAAAATACTTCTTTTTAACTAAGTTTTATCTTTTGAAATAAATTAATTTTGACTCTTATAAGAAATCAACTAATAAGGAAACTGAGTTTTTGTCACAAAGTCAAATTTTCAAATCCCTATATTTTTGCAGCCCAATGTCGCAAAGCTTAAATATCTCAAACTATGAATTCTGTTTGATAAAAAAAAGGTTTACACCTTGAGGTTGCAAAGAAATATGGCTTAAAAAATTGAAGTTTGTGGCAAAGACTTGACTCCTTTGTAAATGAAAACAAATGTTTTAAAAGAGAACGGACTACTCCTCGCCTTTGTGCCTGAGCAGAATTTCAAATATCGTATATAAAAATTTAAAGATTGATAATATCATTAATAATAGAAACCTCAAATGTTCCAATATCGGGTTTCTTTAAAACATAGATCTCTAGATAGACAAATATTTAAATACACAATTACACATATTTAACTCCTGTCACTTGGAGAATTTTAAGTTATTGCATTGCAGTTGCTGCAGAGTATAATGGTAGAAAAGGTTTAGAGGTTTACAGTCTAAAAGGTTTATAGGTTTAGAATATTATTGTTGAATTCTTCTTCATCACTGTCTTCATCTTGTTGATTTTTTATATATTCATCTCCTGCTCCTGGTCCTAACTCATGTATTGAAGCTGAACTACCAGAGTGAACAAGATCTTCTTTATCTTCAGCTAAATTATCTTCAGGGAATTCTAAATGATCTGACCTAGTTTTACCAGGTTTCAAATCTAATCCGGACTTGTAATCCATGCACTGTTCAGTCTCACAGTCCTAAAATAAAACATTAAAACTACAGTTTTAATGTTACGTCTTACTGATATATCTTTGACCCTAACTACTTAGTATTCTACTCAGCTTTGATATTTTCCCTCTAGTTCAATCTTTTCCTATGAGTTCTATATCATCATTATACTCTTCCCTTGCTTTCCTGTTTACTGCTGCATATAGATATTTACCTCCTTCAGAACCTCGTTATGTCTAGTCAGCTCTTCTCTTGCTTCTAGAGCCTTCAGCTTCTCATAGTAGCAGATTCCGATACAGGGCGGAGGTCTACCATCCGCCTCAGCAGAATCCAATCCTAGATATTATAGAGATATAGTGGTAGATTCTAATATAAAGTGGAACTGTTCTATCCTTCTCAACTGAATCCAATCCTAGAGATTATACAGATTAAGTAGTGGATACAAATAGAGGGCGAAGATCTTCCGTCCGCCTCAGCTGAATCCATTCCTAGCAGATACAAATACAGGGCCGGCGGAGGTCTTCTTTCTGCCTCAGCTGAGTCCAATTCTAGAGATTATACAGATACAAAAAAGCAGATACTGATACAGATAAGAGAGGTCTTCCATCTGACTTAGCTGACACCAATTCTATATATTATGCAGATTTAGTTTCATATACCGAAAGAGAGCGGAAGTCGTCCATCCGCCTCATCTGAATCCAATCCTGGAAATCATATAGAGATAAAATGGTAGATACAAATACAAAGCTGAGGTTATCCATCTGCCTCCGCTTCATCCAATCCTAGAGATTATACAGATATATTGGAGCAAATACAAAAACAAGGCAGAGGTCTTCAATCATAGATAATTAATGAATCCCTATCATGTAAAAAAAGAAAAAAATTACCCCATAAAGCTTTTGAACATTAAGGACAGGATATGCTCAAATTCTGGAATAAATTATCTCAAAATAGGTTCAAAACTCTGATAATTGGATAAACAACCACCTGCTCTCCGGAGAAATGGAAGTGTATCCTGTTGTCTCTTCTCCTCCTCCATCATCTCCTTAACTGCCCAGGGTATTCTTCTTGTATGATCTAGTTGGGATTCATGAGCTGGAGTTCCTCCCAACCTTAATCCTATTCTGGACATCAAGGATCCGTGCACACTAAACAAACGAACATTTTTTATACACACATGTCTGTAGACAGGGGTGTTCTGTAGACAGAGGTGTCCTGTAGACAGAGGTGTCCTGTAGACAGGGGTGTCCTGTACACAGGGGTGTCCTGTACACAGAGGTGTCCTGTAGACAGTAATGTTGAATAACATTTTTTAAAATGAAGTTGCTAAGCAAACTTAATTTTTCTGCAGCAGGGTTAAATGAAAAACTTATAAAGGGTTGATGGTGCAACAACTAGGGTTGATGGTGCAACAACTAGGGTTGATGGTGCAACAACTAGGGTTGATGGTGCAACAACTAGGGTTGATGGTGCAACAACTAGAACTTAAAATGGTAATTTGAAATATTTCAGAAGTGGAAATAAAAACAATTAAATGTGAAAATGTGAAATAAAGAATTGAAAAATGAAAATTGACGAATCTTAAAGTGAGAAAGAAGAATTCAAAATAAGAATTTGAAAGTGAAAATTGTAGATTTTAAATGTAAAAAATTAAGAGTTTAAATGGTGCAGGAACTCAGGTGTTGCCACAAACACAAATTTTCTAATCCCTTTAACTTTAAATCCTTATGCCGTGGACCTTTGATATTTCAAACTATGAATACTGTTGATCAAATAATCTAATTTTGATATATCAAATATTTACACCATCAGGTTGCAAAGATTTTAATTTGTAGCAAAAAAAAGATTTTTCACGTGAAAATGAAGAATTTAAAAGTAAAAATTGAAGAATCCAAAACTGAAAATGGAGATTTTGAATGGGAAAATTAAGAATTTAATAGTAAAATTAGAGTACTTTGAATGTAAAAATGAAGAATTTAAAAGTGAAAATTAAAGAATCCAAAAGTTCTAATGGAAAATTTGGGGGGTGATATCGTGGAAATAGACCTTAGTTTACACTTCTAAAGCAACAAAAACATCAAAGAAAAATATCCTTTTACTCAAAAGATTCAAATAATTTGTACTTGTACTTGTTTTAATGAAGAAATATATTATGTCATATTTTGTTCTTGAGTTCGACCCTGAAAACATCTGAAAAGACTGCAGCAGTAAACTATACACACTCTGTACTGTAGTGTACCATAGTAAACAGTAAACAGATTCAGTGTGTAAACTGAACTTATATAATTAAATTAAACTTAAACCTGGGAAGGATGAGAACTGTAAGAAGAAGAAAATGTATCCAGCTCTTCATCCTGGAAATCAGTAGAGTAGACAGGTTTATATTTTATGTAGAAGAGAAGGTTTACTGTATGAAAACTGGAGGCTGGATACTATAGGACTGTATAAGCTGGAGGTTACAGGAGAGGATACTGCATGAATCAGCCTCTGAGTCTAATATATGCAGCCTCTTTATGCAATTCATATAAACTTAGATATAACATATTCCTAAAATATTTATATAGATATCATACTTGCTAAATAAAAAAAATATCAATCATTTATGTAAGCATGCAGGGGCGTATTCATGAATTTGTCCATGAGGGGGGGGGGGGAGGCTTAACTATTTTAACCGTTCCAGGTGGGAGGTTAAACTCCAATNATTAAAACTATTAATTTCTTGATCTAAATCTTGAATTAAAACTATTAATTTCTTGATCTAAATCTTGAATTAAAACTATTAATTTCTTGATCTAAATCTTGAATTAAAACTATTAATTTCTTGATCTAAATCTTGAATTAAAACTATTAATTTCTTGATCTAAATCTTGAATTAAAACTATTAATTTCTTGATCTAAATCTTGAATTAAAACTATTACATCAATATTGAAAGAGAACTTCGAATATCTGATTGTTCTTTTTTCGGCGTTTTTTTTTAGAGATTTCTAGAATGTCGTCACAATAATAATAATAATAATAATTCATCATTTAACATTGCAATGATGTAAAGGCGTAGGCGTATAACCTTTATTTTGCACTTTTTAATTTCAAAGATCAAATTATTCTTGTCTTCGTGAGAATTATTTGGAAGTTTTTAAAACTTGAACTATGGTGTACAAAAATAAAACTTGAATTATGGTGTANAAACAAGAAAATTGCAGTATACAAACAGAGTAAACTTGTCCGTCTTCACTGTTCATCTTGCAGAGGCATTATAGACACATCTTTACAGTCTTTTACCCTTTTCATAAAATAAACTATAGCAGATAATAATGTTATGGCTTTTGAAATTAGGTATTACAATGCTAATTCATAATAAAGACGATATCGAATTCGTCACTGAATTCCAATGTTTTTTGGGACATCCTGTATCTTTTGAGCCGACCATCAGCAATCCAGTAATTGGGGCACCAATGTAAACATTTCACAATTTCAGTTTTAATCTAGACAACACCAATAAATACATCTAAAAAGGTTTTTTTTAGTTGTCATTTTTAAGATTATCAAATTTGATTTTCCTATTTTGTTTTTGTTCATCTTAACTTGTTTAAGGACTGATGATGATAATATTTTTATCGAAACATATATCCTGAACTGACAGTCTGTATTTTTTCCAAGTTTGGCTAAGATGGCTTTTTACCTGTTTTAACTTTTTTCTAAAAGTTATATCATAATAACAGAATGAATTATACATGATAAATACAGAAAAATCTTTAATATTGTTTGGAAAATCAACCCTAAATGTACAGGCAATAATGATTGAATAAATGTTTTGGCTTTCTGAACACACAAATATTATTGGAAAAGAAATTAAAATTTATAGTTACAAGAAGTTGTGAAAATTCAGATTTCTGTTAAAAGATAAAAAGAAAATATCGTAACCTTGGTTTACTAAAACAACACAATAGATGTGAAGAAAACATTTATTTTTTTTAATTTTCAGAGCTAGGCATTGAATGCCTGCGGAGCGTTTATATGTAAAAAGACTGTTATTAATTGCCTCTGATTAATCTTTTTCAAAGGTGAGTTACAATGTCGTCTTCCTGAAAATCAGGCTGAACATTGACATTTGCTTTGGATCGGTGTCTTTGGGTAGTTAATGGTTATCAGCACTATCTCTTGAGTATAATTCGAAAATATTTAGACCCTCCCATGCACAGGTGCACCTTGTTATTATTATCTATTAGTGGTTTTTTCTTGATGTGTTTATTAAATTTCTGCATTTTGTTTTCTCTTTCCTGATCCGCGGCCCGTCACTCCTGTAGTCTCTCATTACTCATAGAATAGAACTCATACATTACTCATAAATATAATATATATACATATACTCTATTCTTTCATCCAGCATCTTTAGTTTTCCCACAGATTTTTATTTCCATTATAACCCGGAATAACTACAAGAATACCGAACATAAGAGAAGGGTGCTGAAACTATAATTATAAATATTTAAAAACCAGTTAAATTAGGCTGGGATTCCGGATGGAAAATAATGGTGCCAGAACTATAAATACTTTACCAGATGAAGAAGGAGGTAGCATAAACCTATAAATAGTTTACCGGATACAGAAGAAGGGTGCTAAAACTATAGTTAAATAGTTTACCGGATACAGAAGAAGGGTGCTAGAACTATAGTTAAATAGTTTACCGGATACAGAAGAAGGGTGCTAGAACTATAGTTATAAATAGTTTACCGGATACAGAAGAAGGGTGCTAGAACTATAGTTATAAATAGTTTACCGGATAGAAAGGGTGCTAGAAGTAAAGCAATAAATTTACAAGTATAGAAGAGGAGAGTGCTCGACCTGAAATAGTTTTCCGGATGGAGGAAGGCCGGATGCTTCAGCTATAGATAAGTCACAAGGCTGGTAAGAAGGGTGCTAAACTGTAACTGTTAATGCACGGAGAGTGAAGATTTCTTTCCCAGATAACGAAAAGGGATACTGGAGCTTAAGATAATTTACCGGACGGAAATTGAGAGTAACTATAAATAGTTAACCGGATTGGAAAGGAGTGTTACCATGAATAGCTGATAAGGAGGTTAACTATGAATTATTAACCGGATAAAGAAGGAGGGTATCCATGAACTATTTACCGGAGTTGGAAGGAGGGTATCCATAAACTATTAACCGGATAAGGAAGGAGGATAGCTATGAATTATTTACCGGAGTTGGAAGGAGGGTAGCTATGAACTATTAACCGGATAAGGGAGGAGGGTAGCTATGAACTATTAACCGGATAAGGGAGGAGGGTAGCTATGAACTATTAACCGGATAAGGAAGGAGGGTAGCTATGAACTATTAACCGGATAAGGAAGGAGGGTAGCTATGAACTATTAACCGGATAAGGAAGGAGGGTAGCTATGAACTATTAACCGGATAAGGAAGGAGGGTAGCTATGAACTATTAACCGGATAAGGAAGGAGGGTAGCTATGAACTATTAACCGGATAAGGAAGGAGGGTAGCTATGAACTATTAACCGGATAAGGAAGGAGGGTAGCTATGAACTATTAACCGGATAAGGAAGGAGGGTAGCTATGAACTATTAACCGGATAAGGAAGGAGGGTAGCTATGAACTATTAACCGGATAAGGAAGGAGGGTAGCTATGAACTATTAACCGGATAANGAGTGAATTAAAGGGTTTCCTAAAGGAGCGAATTAAAGGTTACCCGAAAAGATTAATAATTTAACGTGATATAAAACTGAACAAAGTTTAGAGAAACAAACGAAAGGAACAAATAGTATATATGAGTCAGAATTGCAAACGAAACAGATCAGAAAACAAAACATTTCCGTAAATATCAAAACATTGGATAGGAAAGATGTTAATTTTTCTTTCACTCCTTTTTTACAAAAAAATCTAATATATGCATAAAGGAGGTTGATGTAGATAAGGAGGGGAGAGGGGGGGGGGGCTGAAATGTGGGAGAAGTGTCAATTTTTGAGTGATCTATAAACATTATTAAGATAAAACTGTCAATTTGCATTCCTGTCATATTTAAATATATTATTTACAATTTCCTGTCTCTTAAAAACTTAAACCTTGTAAGTATTCCTTCTTTTAAATAGTCAGACACAACTTTGCAATAAATTAACATCTTTGGCTCAACTTTTGTATTTGATCTTGTCCCTAGCATTGAGCTAAAGCTTTGGTGCACAGAATTAAATAGAATTCAACCCCTTTATTAAAGAACTAAGATGATCTAAAAGGAGTTGCGGTGTGTTCGCGAAAAAATGAAAAAAAAAAGTCTGAATGGATCGCTACTAAGTTTACTTCTATCTGTTGCGTCTATGTATATGGAGAACATTAGTAGCAATCCGACTTTTCTTTAATTCAGTCTCCATGGTTTACACTCCCTTTAATTCAGTCTCCATGGTTTACACTCCCTTTAATTCAGTCTCCATGGTTTACACTCCCTTTAATTCAGTCTCCATGGTTTACACTCCCTTTAATTCAGTCTCCATGGTTTACACTCCCTTTAATTCAGTCTCCATGGTTTACACTCCCTTTAATTCAGTCTCCATGGTTTACACTCCCTTTAAATAGAAAAAAGTATTAGTGATTGGTATAATAAAGCAATTTATTTTAAATTCATAAATGTGATTAGTTTAGAAAATAGATTCAAGGAGAAAAACCGAAGAAGAAGATTATAATCAAGGATCATTAAATTTAATTGAATTGAATATGTATTTATAGATTTTAGTAGTAACCAGAAAACTGTAAAATGATTTTTGTGTTCAATTTTGCATTTTATTCACATAAATATATATGTGTTGCTAAAAATGTATTATTCTGTAATTTTCATAACTGTCCAACAATGTCCGGGGCACATATAATAAATAAAGTGATAATAATTTAATAATAATAACGATATTGATAGTAATAACATCAGTAATGACAGTAATAACTATAATAGCCTCTAGTAAAGATGAAACTTTGATAAGATCAAGGTTCAATTAGGTTTTTGTTGATATGAGGATAATGAGAGGTACTTTTTACTGGAGTAGAAAAGGAAAGAAACATATGTATAAAAGGAAGCAGAATATAATTGTTTTCATTAACCTCTCAATAACCCCACAAAAAGGATTTACTTTTACTGTCTTGTGACTTCTAACTTTTGCCAGGTTTTTGGAAAGGAATAAGCGTTATCTCATAGATTTGAAAATGGATGTTTTTTAATTTGAATTTGAATTCTTTGAGGGTTAGATACACTGGGAAGAAAAAATATATATTTCAAAATATTTGTTATGTTAAAACATCTGAAATATTAAATAAGTAATGCTTTAAAATAATCAAATATCTGACGTTATATAAAAACTTTAATCATTTAAACTGCAATGTTGGGACCTTTTGTTCAATTTCCGGATTTGTTTGAAGTTACCAATTTTAAAGCAAAAATCTAGTGCCAA